GGCAGTTGCTCCGTGCTGGCGATTGGAGTAGGTGGGGTGGGCCAATGGGGAGTCCGCCTCGCCAGGGCCCTGTTCCCTCCAGAAACGCAAATCATATGTGCAGGAGTCAAGGTTTGCTTTATCATTTGCCTTCCGAGAGATTCTGTCCAAACCGGAAGTTGCGGCTGCGCTGGCTGTATTGATCACGCACGCGGGAATTGACTGTTGTCATTAATCGCAGCCCAATTACAGCCCAATATTTTGGGGAAAAGTCACTCAAAAGTACGATGCTGTTTTAGGGAAACGGTAAGAAATTTCGTTCCTGCTTCCGCTTGCTTATCTTATATCTCATACCCAAGACCTGTTAGTCGTACATTCACCAATCTTAACTAACGCGGATGAGATGTAAGTTAAACATGTGCGTACGGCATATCACTTTACGTACGAGACACAAGTTGCACATACAAGATAAAAGTCGAAAGAAAGACTTATGATTTATGAGTTGAACATGCGAACATATTTGTCTTGCGTCTTGACTCGTTAGTCTTCAGTACGACATTGTACGTAGTAAACTCGAGGAGAGGGCTTTTTTCACCTGGCCATCAAAATACATGTAGTTTTAGTTTCGTACAAAAGCATACTCACTTGATAGTTACGTGATGCACTCACTTTACGCTGTTCATTATAGAGTAGTCTGTTGCTCGTTTATGTCACTACACCAGAGCGCTGCATTTAAAGACGTACTGCTTTGTATCAGGGCTGTTTTCACAACTTTGTTGTCTGATGACCCGTAATGCCTATTCAAAAAGAGAGGGTGTATCTTTCCCCTAGGGTGCACGCCCATGACCAAAGTAAATCGAACTGGTTCGATACGTACACTAATTTTCTTGATTGTGTATACTTGATCGGCTGTCGGTATGACTTGATGCTTAAAACAAGTGGAATGTGCTAAGCCCGAGTGCAGTTTCCATGCCAGGGTCAAGCTGACCGACAGGCACTCAAGTTAGTTTTGTGGGCGGGACCTTCAATAGACGAGACACAAGACCATTCACAAGAGCAGACTTGAGTAACATTGTGAACAATGATAAAGAAAGGGAGATTTCTAGACGCTGGTGGTAGCAGACATATTTATACCGGTCCTTTTTCAAAGTACTGCGTGCGCTCAAAACTATGCACGCATGCTCATACAGTGTGCGCATACTCAGAACACTGATCTCAATACACTGGAAGGGCAGCTCAGCAGTAACTGCCTATGTGTGAACTGAAGTGACCGCACGGCTAACTCAGGATATTCAATACATTGGCCTCCAAGAGACCTCTTCACTAATAATTCATAATTATGCACGCATGTGCACAAATGACCTCGGCGGCAAGGAGTGTGAGCGGGCCATTGAAAATGTAGAGTGGTGCGACTCCGATGATCATTTTCTCTCAGGTTTTCTGACTTTGTTCAGTTTTTCTTTTAAAATGCCATTAAATCGTTTTTGCCATTAGTTTTTAATTTAAGTGAAATTTTTAGTGCTCTGTGAAAAGATTTTAAAATCGCAATTTTTCCTGTGTGCACGAAATCGTCGTTTCTATAGTGCGGCCCCCTTCCATCATAAGTAGTATAAACTACTTCGATTGTTAGTGTTCTTAGAACCAACCTGTGCATTTTGTAAAACACTAGCTTACCCTTGAACTTGGTCATAGCTTGGAGTACTACCGAAAGAAATAATATCTGGGGATGTACAAAACAAAGTGCAGATTCCAAAGAGAAAGAGATCTGGTTCTTCAGTTTTCCCGAGTACAGAAAGCTGCGAATCGAATGGGTACATTACCGGTACATGGAGATAGATTGAACATCAGTACGTGTTTTTACAAATGCACAGGTTGGCTCGAAGAACACCATTGATCGATATAGTTGATACTACTTATGATGAAAGGAGCCCTTCTAAGAATCAACGATCTTGTGCGCAGAGGAAAAAAATACGATTTTAACATCTTTTAATAGAGCACTAAAAATTTCACTTCAAACGATTTAATGAGATTTTCTGAAGAAAAAATTTACGAAGTCAGAGAACCTGAGAGAAAATAATCGTCGAAGTTACACCCATGCATGTACATTTTCAATGGCCCGCTCACACCTCTTGCCGCCAAGGCCATTTTTGCACGTGCGTGCATAAAGCAAATTATAAGTAAGAGATCTATTTCACTTTCAGTCCATTCACTACAGTGCATTCATGCTCGGCGCTAAAAGCTGGTGACTTGGAAAGTGCCCTTGTACTGAATAGTCGAAGATGGCCGCGCAATCGCTTCAATTCGCAGAGCTGAGCTGCCTATCCAGTAGTTCTGAGTCACTGCTCTCTATAAACTGGATAGACAGCTTTGCTCTGGAGGTCAGTGGAGGTCAATGGAGGCCATTGTATTGAATATCCCGAGATAGCCGCGCGGTCACTTCAATTCACACATGGGCAGTTACTACTGAGCTGCCTATCCAGTGTATAGAGATCAGCGCTCAGAACTGGTAAAAAGAACCGGTATATGTGTCGCTACTCAGCAGTTCAAAGTATGCAATTGCAGTTCACGTGAAGAGCTTCCGTGCTTTACTTGATTTAAGCCTGGAAGTCTTATGATGGTCTTGTGCATCAGGTCCTGTGATTATCGAATAAACCTCGTGCGTTTTGGCCATATTCGAGATGTGTTTCTGTTATTCAAATCTCATAATAATGTAAGCTGACTTTTATGTACCTCGAAGAAAGGTCTACAAGGCATGTTGACTACAACACTGAGTCTAGTGCATGCTATCTTCTGGCAGTTTTACATTTTTGAAAAACACTTATCAGTTGAAATCCAATAAGTGTGAAACCGAAACCTGCCAATGACTTTATTTATTATGTACGACTTTCGTAATAATTTCAAGGAATTGACTGTGTCCTTCGCCACAGAAAGTCCTTATTGATATTGTTTCCGTTTAATGGTGTGACAGTATACATGGTAACTTTTGGGATGTTTTATATCCTAGCAAGAATCTTTAGATCTGGCTACCAGCACTATTAGCGATGTTGTGCCTCTACTCATGGGTAGAGACCAACCCAGTGACATCATCGCTCAGGAAGTCAAGGCGGTTTCTCGCACTGGCAATGGTGTGAACCTCGTGATGGATTTCGCCGGCCTGACAAAGACTTTCGAAATCGGCCTTATGTCTCTGGATCTGGTAAACATTCAACCTCTTATATATGAAAGAGATAGCTTGGGCTTACATAAAGAGACAGTCACCTGCAGGTCTTTGCATCGTTGCAAGAAAGAACAATATGCCGGCTTCAATGTTTCTGATGTTCTTCGGCAATTGCATTGTGGAATACCGTTATGTTAATTCATTGTTTTATACCATACCTTGTTCTCGATCCTCATTTGCTGAAACGGGGTTCATATGGGGTTCACCAATTATAGGCAATGGCTTGAAACGTTTTTCGTCAACGTGAACTTAGATATGCATCACGAGATCGTGAGCCTGTAATTTCCGATTATCTTAATCGATTGCGTACTACACTCAAGTTTTTGACTGGTTATAGCCATTCCATTCGTCATTCTAGGCTATAAGGACCGGTATATAACATATTGCTGATCCGCATACCTGTATTAAGTTTCCAGATACAATGAAGTACGGCGTTGCTTAGGTGCTTTATAAAATTACTGTGTCTGTTCAAAACAAGACAGGCATTTAAGTAGAATGCGGTAGATAAGGTATCCTCTGTTAGATGTTAACATTATTAGCATCTGTACATTCTAGAATCACGAGGAAAACATGCAATTATTGTTCACATGGTTTGTGTAGCATCCCTTAATTACAAGTGCAGATTCATCCCGCAATGAAAAGCCCTTCAAGCAAGGCTTTTAACGATGACCCCTTTCATTTCAAAAGGTAACCCTGACAACGAGTTTCTCTGAAACTGTCATTCAGGTGTACGGGGACGTTTGAGAACCTGTATGAATCCAAGGAACGCCTTCGAATCCTCATGGTGGTCTCATCCACTTGAAACTCTCAAAGGCATACAACCTGAATACAAGCCACAGTTCATTTAGATTTCATTTTCCACTTCAAAATGAAAGTGGGCACCCATGGCTCATGATGGCTGTGCTCCGCAGAAATTTCACCCAATAGTTACGTCACACCACTATAGTGTGGGCCTATACAGACAGGGAATTGTCAAATGAAACTGTGAGAACCCGAAGTTTTTGTATATGTTAATACACTTGTTGTTTAGCTGTTAATTGGGCTGTTCAGTACATACAGTTTAAAAGTAGAGTTGCAATTTCAGTCTTCCCTTTTCTGCATAAAATACCGGCTTTCAGGTTCACGTCGTAGAAAATAGAAATTTAATGACAGAGGGATGGGAATGCATGTATCACGTTGGCAAGCATTCTAACATGGCTGTTAGTTCTTGAATGAAAACAGAGAATTTCACACTACATTTTCGCGCAAAAGACGCCATTGTACATATAAGCGGGTGTCAGTTTTTTTCGTTCTGTCATTTCTCTCCGTCTTGTACACGCAGAATGGTCAGTACATCGCCATTGGACTCTTTGGTGGTGAGGCTCAGATTCCACTACCCAATTTGGTGTTGGCTAACATCACCCTGAAGGGCATCGCAATCGGAAGCCTGGACCAGCTCAAGCGACTGGTTGAACTCGTGCTCAAAAAGCCTGTAATTAGTATTGTAGGCCCAACTCTTTAACTGTTAAATGCACTCTGGGGATGGGAATCCTGTGTTGAGAGTCTGTATCACAAGTCGGAACAGGCCATTGCGTTCGAAAGCCGATCACAAGTCACCCCACTTAAAAGATGGTCATGAGCTGTTCGACTGAATTTTGCAGGTGCAGTGCGTTGCCATTTTCGCCCCTTGCTCTTATACTTTGACCTGTATAACTTATGAACAGACTGTAATGATTTCCCCTTTGATTGACTTACCATTTTGACTGGAGTACAGCCCTGCCTTTCAAGCTGGCAATTGCCAAACACAATGATATCTGTATTTGTTTTTTTTCTCATGAACGAAGATTTAAAAGGGATGAGCCTTCTTAGTACTCAAAGCCACAGTTCCACTCTTCCTGCTATACATAGGGTTGTGGAATTCATATTTTCCTCCTTTTCTTCACTAGTCCATATACGACAACCTGAAGTGCACCGTTTATCCACTGGAAGATGGCATCCAAGTCTTGGAGACACTGGCTGAGGGGAAGATGGTCGGACGGGCCGTACTGAAATGCAACAATGATGATGAGAAGCCTCTAGCAAACTTCACATCTAACTGAAGAAATGTTGTTATTGAACCATTCTAACGGCACCTTTGTTTAAGACACTGAAAATACCTCAATCCGTCATTCCTCGGTTGCTTTGACGGTGAAGTTTATCCATGCAGTGCTTCTAGACCTGTAGTTTGTTTTCGGTTAGTGGGCTGAAAAATTCATTCCGGTCATAAAGTAATTACAATATGAATACTGAAATACATGTAGTTTACTTTTGGGTATAACAATATTTGTGTGAGATTGTATTTCAATTAAATAGAGTTAGTATTATAGGTAATGAACACGTATGAGAATGCTTTTTGTATCCAAAACAAATTTTGAAAGTACTACTTGCGATTTTTCTTATGAGGCAGGATTTCAAAGCTTGGCAGTCGTGTGATGCTTCAAAAGCTTAGCAGATAAGTACTTACACTGTATACGTTTTTGTAAATATTTACACATTTTGGGAAAATGGGTGAATCTGAAAATTTTTTACAACTTATTTCTCTAGTTGAAAATATATAGTTTTTCATTGCCATGTCACAGACGGGATCGGCGGCAAAAAAGGCTTTTGGTCGATTGGGAGCTAAAATTAGAGTCTGGTGAAAAGACAACCAAAACAATGGGTGCTCTAATAGAAGTTCACGTCGAATGAAAAGCATTGCTTCGTAGATAGCCTTGTGTGCAGCAGCTCTAATTAAACTTGAACAGTGGTTCAAGACTCTAATACAACATTCATTTTCCATTGACAGACGAATTAAATGTTAAATGTTTTGTGCGTGTTGAAAGTAAATCTTTGTCACTTTTGTTTAATATTTCTGCTTTCTTCGTACGAACAGCAGTGACATCATTCTATCTTTCCTTGTGAATGAACAGACTTTCACCTGGAACCAATGAGACGTTCACCTGTCTTTCAAAGCTTGTACGATAGAAGTGCCTGGAAAATCAGGGATTTGTGCGGTCAAAATGCCCGTTTAATTATCATTTAAGAAGTTTGAAAGTCCGGAAAGACAGAACTATTATGCGTACAAGCGTTTATTGATCAGTTTCCGAAGGTCTTCGCCTTTTTTTTGGGGGGGGGGAGATAGGCCATTGAATCATCCCCCACACTTTTTTGTGGTGAGCAAAAATTTAAAGTGGATTGTGAAGAATTTTTCTGAATCCCATCGAAAAATGCATTCAATATCACTAAAAAAAGGGCAAACAATTCGTCGGTCTTTTCACGAAGGGATGGATGTTTGATATCGCTAGAAAAAGATTTTTTGAGAGAATCGTATTTGGAGTTGGTCTCTATTTCAGACGCTCATTTCCCAGTGTTTAGCATGACATTGACTTGAGTAATGTTACTACATGAAAGAGGGGATCTCAAATGCCACAAAATATTGAAAGAAGTCAACTACAATTGTATATTTTGAAAACAATCCCACTTAAACACCACTGATTCCTTGCTCTCCATGCTCCCTTAAATTTGCTCCCCCGACACCATTCATTTAATTACGTCTTCCAGACACATTTTCTGTACACGATCGTCCGATCGTAGACGTTCTGTCAATCATGGACCCTGTCTTCCTCTTGTTTGACGTCCCCAACTTACTTTAAACGTGTACAATACGCATTGGCAGGGATTGTTTTATTTGCGCATTGCAGCACCTCCAAACGTGACTTCCGGGTCACTGAAAGGCAAAAACGGAAATATCTGAAAGTAAAACAAAAATGCCTTTAACTCTAATGCACATGCTGAGAAAATAAAACAACTTTTGGCTGCGTTTGGCATAGTTCAAGGTTCAGTAGAATAATTATTATGCACGGTGGACCATAGTATATGACGCAACCAAGGGGGACTAGATGGGTTTCACCCCCCAAGAAGTTATCATTTCTGGATAAAAAAAACAAAGATACCATAATACAAATACTGTTACATCTTAAACTACTGATATAGCAGCACAACCCAGTCCCCGTGGTGCAACCAAGGTCAGCATCATGAGCTATTTTGAGGGTTAAGATGTTTCTAATCTCAATTTGGCAGCCAGCCAAACTCCTATCACTGATGAAATGAGAGTCAGGAAATAGCTCCACATGTAGCTTCGGTGTTTTAATATTTGGTCACACTGGATGATGATGTCATTGACATGTCGACCCTTTCCAACAAGGCTGCATCCGAATCTGTTGTCTAGAGCTAGGTCTAGGTCTTCCCTCCATTGGAAATGTGCGGAGACGCGGAGACAACAGACCTTGAAGGTCGTTTCGGACACGGCCCAAAGGCGCATTGCGTACAGAAAACTTGAGTTTTTTTAAAATAGGGTGTACGGGTCAGATACAGCACATTGCACACTTCATTATTTGCTTCTCGATGCAGTGTCTTAAATACTATTGACTGAGATTTTTTTCAGAATCCTGTCGTTACAGCATCCAAAATTAGAATGAGGCCATTTCAGACATTTTAAAGGTTAGTTCCTAGCTGTTTCCAACTAGCGCAGCTAGACCTAAAGTCAAATGATAAACATGACAGAAGTGTTCGTGTTTTCGGAGGATAAAAGCATATCAATTCTCTCCTTGTAACTGCTGCAGACAATAAGAACACGGTATGAGAAATCATTTACCCTTCCAGGATTTACTATTAAGGCTTTGCTTGAAAGTAGACCATAGACCTTTCCACAAAGGTGAGGTTTGTTTCGCTGCAACAGGCCACGCCCGTCTTTGACCGAGAATGGAGGATGGTACCCTAACATATCGCACAATTTTTTTATAGCTTACACAGAACGGAACCTTACTCATTTCTTTCACCTCATGCGTTTTAAACGAACGAAAATTTTCAAGTTTTTATTTGACTCTCCAAAAATTACTCTCACACTAGAAATTAATAGCTATAGTAATTTCAGAGAGTTTTCCGAAGACCGCGAAAGTGACAAAAGTGCAAAAGCTGAGAGAAAATGGCGTTGAAATTTGTGCCCCTGTACGTTTTCAATGGGCTGCTCAAGCTTTTTGCCTCCAAATGCCATATATGCTCATGTGCACATAAATTGGATTCATTAGTGGAAGGGTCTATTGGAATGAGGCTGGAAAGATGCTTCTATCTAGGGATGCACCCTTGCAAAAAGGCCCGAAATCTGTCCGCCGAGCTCATTAATAAATAAAAGTTATACACTCAAAATAGTCTATATTAGAGGGTCCTGAGAGCCATGGAACTGGGGAATTGAAGAAATATCGCACTGAATCTCTGGGCCGGACTTAAGGCTTCCAATTCTTCCAATTTATTTGTAGCGATGCACCCCAAGATAGCTCGTGCTTTTGGCATGTCAATGGCCATTTGCACGCTTGACTGGTGATTGACATTTACCATACTGACCTAACAAATTAATCCAAGCACAAGGACAGACGCCATCGGTCGGTCTTCTCCACGTTGGTTTCAAGGGTACCTAATTGGCTGTGACCATGAAGTGCATCCAGGTATTAATCCGCGCCGGAGCCCCTGTTTTGTTTTGTTTTTCTTGTGTTTCTTTCGTGGGGATATGTTAAAGGGAGGGCGCTGCTTAGTGACGACACCGTTTGACGGCACCCTGCTTTAGGGTTGTGAAAATAAAATACGTTCTCCCTTCCTTTCCTTCAACAGTCCATATATGACAACCTGACGTGCAGCGTTCATCCACTGGGAGATGCCATCCAAATCATGGAGAAACTGGCCAAGGGACAGGTGGTTGGACGGGCCACACATTGAAGTGTAACGATGATGAGTAATCGCTGGCAAATCGAGAGAGTATTGTCGGCACTCTCACTGAAAACTCTCAACTTGTATGGGTGGCTAAAGTTTGCAGAAATATAACCTTTTGGCTGTTTTTCAATTTCTCATGAAATTCGTTCAAAATGGGCATTTGTTCCATTAATTTTAAAATATTGTTGAATTTTCATTTAGTATGTAGTAGTACGTGTTTTATACTACGGTGTTCTGTTTGCTGCATTGGATTTTTTAGAACATTTTGTGAATTATCCTTGTAATGATTGACGGGATTATTCTTTTATCGAAATTGCCCGACTGCACCACCAAATGCTCTGCCACGTTACACATACGGACCCCTGCACTCCAGCTCATCGGGCGGTCCTCCCGTCACTTCAGGCCGCCGAAGGCTACTGGCATTGACTACATGTGGTGAAAGCGCCCTAGATTATGGAACGCCAAATGTACCAAAATATGACGTTATTCTATGAACGTAGTTTGAACATGTTTTCTTCCATGGATTTTCATATGTATGAACTATTCATAACTACCCCAATCCAGTGTTCTCACTGGCTAAGACGCGGCCCCAAAAGTGAGCAGCTCCAGCGCCCAGCACCGATCATTACCGAGCGGGCAGCTCCGGAGAAACAACTCCTTGAACGATCGTGTGTGTACAGCTCTGCTATGAATAACCTGTCTGTCACTCCCAAATAAATAGCTTAGATTTGGACGAGCTGTACTCTGATTATTGTTCTTGTAATGAACTTGCAATAGAGCAATATCCAGCCTCACTGGCAACAGAAGTTGTTCGTTGTAAATATGGAGACAACGTAAATAATTCTTCAGAATAAATTAGTTACGTGTGTAAGTCAATCCCATGACTCTCTGTCATTCTGTTTGATAACGGTTCTCTACCCTGAGAGAGACGTTACAATTAGTTTTAGCAGCCACATATAGGAAAATCCCGACTGTGACGTCAAAAGAGCAGATCCTATGTATGAGCAGTCAGTTTAAGAAAATGTGACAAGAAAAATCCTCAATCTTTCGTAACATTAATGTCGAAGTCTGTTTGCTGTTTTTAGGTTTATGTGATTCCAGTCATGGTTTAAGACGACTTTAACTTCAGTCTTTCAGTACATAAAGTGACATACGTCATGTATGTAGTAAGTACCTCGTGGTTATTTTTCTGCTTTTAAACACAAGAAAAAATTCCGTTTCAAAATACTTTTGATGCTACAATACTGCCACATTTAAATTCGTATTAGCAATTTAAACGTTTTAGGAAATTTCATGAAAAGATAACGTAATTTTTAAATCTTTCATCAATGTGATGAGATGCTTACTTTTTCGTGAAATTTGATTGTATCGATTTATTAGTCATAAATTACACCCTGTACCCTCTGAATGTTTGCTTTGCATATTAGATGTGTCTAACTCTGACTGAAAATTATAATCACAAAACAAGCATATCGCTACCACCAAAATGAGCACTCCCAACCAATATGGCTATTTTCAACCATTGAGGGGTCCTTCTGCTAAAGGCGGAAATCACCTCCTATTGTGTCCGCCATACCTCAGATAGGGTAACTGGACGTCACAAATGGGATCAGGTCTCAAATCTATAGATAGCACAGGACTGTATCTGTTGTAGGCTCCTCCCATGAAAATGGTGTTCTTTCGCTTTAGATGCCCCCCCCAAATTGTCAATTATTTAGAGGGTTCAAAGCGAAAGGAAATCTCATGGTTGACCTCTCTCTGTTATAAATTCTCGACAGCCTAATTGCATCAGTGCCTGCTGAGTTCTCTGAAACTAAAGAAAGCTAAAACCAAAGCGTTCGTTTTCTTTTGACGTTCATCTTCATACCGATGTGTTTGTTGGTTATTGTGTCTCAGTGAGTTGTTCAGCTATGCAATGATGCTGTGTATACGGAAAAATTGTTTTTCCGACACTGCTCCCGAAAAAAAATCTTAATTTAAGCGAAAAAATGGCCCAGATTGATACAAGATTTAAATAATATGGTCTTCGATAATAATATGGTGGGCTTTCTGATGTAAACAAAATCTGAAGTTTGCCAAATTCGAGGTGTTAAGGATAACCCTCACAATATCAGGTTTTGCTTTTCAAAGCATTACGACATCCAGCTTGCACACTATACAATGACACTGACTTACTTCCAATAAACATTCGTAATATTCAGTCATTTTCAGGATTGGCGGTTTTTTATTTTAAAAAATGTTTGAAAATCGAGTTTGTAATTTTAAATATTAAGTCAGATTTTGTTTTTATTAAAATCGGATTTTTCATTTCAAGACAAGTCGGAGACAAGTCGGCGTAATAAGCGTAAAAGCAAATTTAGTATGTTAATTTCTTTTATTCATTTCTTTTATAAACAAATGAATTTGGAATGAATTGAACAAATTTAATCAAGTAATTCTGATGAAAAACAAAAACCGCATTCAGTGTTGTCCAGTCACAGGTGCAGGCAGTATATAGCACCTTATGGACCCCCAGAGAAGACAGCTGCTCCGGGGATTTAGGTAAAAGGGTAAAGTACCAAATTTTACAGCAGTTGTAACAAAACCAGAGTTCCAAAGGAATTTGTTGACAAGAAACTAGTACCTAATAACCAATGAGTGAAAAAAAAATGAATCCATAAAGCTGTTTTAAATGTAAACATGTTAATTGAATTGAAAAATCCTGCCAACCCAGATTGTGTTAACACATGTACATGTACATTCAGATTTATGTTAAATACTTGGAAGGGAAGGACCCACGGGGTGAATTTGCTACTTAAAATGTACAAAAGCTGGAAAAATTACAAATCAGTTGGAAAACATTGAAATTACTAAATGTTTCGCCTTTCCCCCAAAATATCAATATGTTGGTTTTAACTCAGTGATTTAAAAAAATCATTTGATTGAATCACAATTTAACTCAAGGTGATTTAAATCGGCCCACCTTAGGCGTTTTCCATTTTCTTATAGACTGATATCCTTTTGAAATAAATTCGCAATGATTATGATTTCTTGAAAATATGACACATCTTAGGCTGTGCAGACATTCATCATGTTTGATACTCTAAACGTTTACTCTGAATAGAAACACTTATTCACTGCTATTTTAAACAAAAGATGAAAAGGGGTTCTTCACAGACAGATGACTTGAGGAAACTCATATGATTAGGCAGATCTGGCCAGCGTTCCACTCAATAAATGTCGCTTTCATTATACCAGTGACGACAAGAGTTGTGGCTCTTCCCATTTCTGGCAAGGCTATTCATCATCGCCGCAACACTTCAGAATAGCCCGACCAATGATCTGCCCTTTGGCAACTTTTTCCATGGCTTGGATGCCATCTTCCAGTGGGTGGACGGTGTACTGAAGGTTGGCAAAGAGTGACTAGTGAAGAGAAAACGACAGAAATTTCGTTCAACTGTTGAGAGAACATCCAAATAAAATCTTCACGATTCTGGATACTCCAAGTTATTTTTCGACGTCATACAAGAACTTTCTTAGGTCACATATTCAAGGGGAAATTTTCTTTAAGAAAGACTGAATTATTTCTGCACTAAAGTGAGCGCGAGTGCGAAGTCAGAGCAGATATTTGCAATTCAAATTCGCAAAGGTTGAGCTTAACAAACTGCCGCTGTAGAAGTGATGTTAAGTTACAGAGCTCGTAGAAGCATATTGTGACTTAACCATCCATCCAGGAAGGAACATGACTTCCGGCATCATTAGGTCCTTTTTTAACTGATCACTTCCTGACCAATCATGCGCGGCGTCTGACCTGGCTGCGCCCACAGTAGCCACTGGTAAGCATTATAAGTTCACTGGCTTTAACAAGCTCCTTTTATCTACCTATTGTGCCCACAAAATGCTGCTGAAGCCAAAACGCAATTTATAATCGGCAAGCTTAGGCGAGGCACGGTCGAGGAATTTTGCTCTAAAAGCCTCGTGTATTAATTAACAGCGGTGAAACGTCCGCTCAGGCGCACCTGCTGCAGCTTTACTTCACATAAACAGATGTGCTACCTCTGGCCTTTTAGCAACCTATTTCAGACACAACCTAAGACTTTCTGAAAGACCATCAAGGGAATTATCAGTCAATGAATCAGATAAAATTACCGGCGTTTTGGCCATGAGATCCACCAATCGCCTGAGCTGGACCAGACTGCCTACTTTGATGCCAATGATGGAGCGTCCATTCAGTACCACTTCAGGTAGCGACATATGCGCCTCACCACCAAGAAGACCAATCACATGGTAACGACCTCGCTGTTCGTCAAAAAAAGAGAAATGGCCGAGTTATTAAAAACAAAGATAACCCTTTAAATCGGAACTTTCTGAAAGAGACGGGTTAATCTTAAGAAAATATTTTTTCTCTAAGTACGTGTGTATTTTGTCACTCCATGACTTGCCATCTGAACATGATGTTAAGTTATTAACGGAGTTATTCGTGTTCAAGGGTAATTATTTACAGATCCGATTTATAATTCATGGTCATTTTCATTAATTACGGGTATATTGATTAATTTCAGTGAGGCGAGTGATTCACAAGTTCACCATTCTCAGTGACTTCTTGGCGACCTCGAACGTCTGAGTTGAACCGACAAAATCCAATATGAGATCAACGCCGCTACCGGTGCGAGAAGCCGTCTTGACTTGCTGAATGATGCTGTCGCTGGACTTGTGTTGATCTATGAGTAACGGCTCAACAGTACCGACATTACTTGTAACCAAGTCCAGTGGTTTTTGCTGCAACATGCAAATATTCAGATTCACAAATCCTGCCGTTGTACTGAATGTTATAACACCGATGTGTGACCACTTAATTAATTTTAGGGTCCAAATCTGCAATGTACAGCATGTATAAAAAGTGTATTAAGTTAACTTTTTCTTCAATCAGAACAAACACGACAAGGAAACAAACCTTGACGTCTGCACATATGATTTGCGTTTCTGATGGGTACAGGGACCGGGCAAAACAAATTCCCCATTGGCCAAGCCCACCTGCCCCAATCACCATCACAGAGCAACAACCTGTCGGTGTAAAACAAAAACAACACGAAGACTGAAACTAAAAAACTTTCGGCAAACTGAGAGCAGCCCGCGTGCTCCCCAGAGACTTCGTTGTGTGTTTCTTTTGCCAGGGAACTGAAAAGTTCGGTCTTTAGAATGTTCTTTATGCAAATAATGGTTGGTCAAAAAATCTCCTTGCGTCTGCCCAGCAGCACTTAAGTTCAATACATTGTACCAATGAGACATGAGGAAAGGGATAAAGCTGGTAGGAATGCTCTCAATGTCACAACTACACAGGATAGGGGATGATGTTCGTTATGGGGGGAAACGGGAAACTTGGTTGTCGGGAAATCCAAGTCTGGCGTGCATGTGAGACAAGTAGAAAGCACCATGTCTAGTAATTTATCCTGTTTAGAAGAAAACGCTAAATGAAAGTCATTCTTGCAAATTTGTCGGGTGAAACTTCGAGTGCAGCCACGCTTAAGAAGGTGATATGAGCTGGGTTTTTTCCAAATACCGACTTCGTGTTATAGTTTGGCTTTAATCCTGGGCCTCAGAAACATGTTCATAAGCCAACTCTCAGAGCCATAAACAAATACTGGAAATGGCTTTTCTTACAAGATTGGATGCCAGGATCTCTGTTATATAAGCCAGACCAAATTAGGGAAACCCTCGCATTTCATCCTTATAGGCCTTTAAGTGCATTCATCCACCTGCACAAGCCACTTTCTGCTTCATGGCTGTCTATCAGACATACCTTTGATCTCGGTGACATTCTTCACAAACTCCACGGCATTTTCGACGGCGTGGTAAGCAGTTAGCCCACTGCAGGGGAGAAGACTAGCCACCGTCAGAGGTATGGATGCACACACAGGGACCACGTACCGAACTTCAGGCACAGCAACATACTGTGCGAATCTAGGGAGAAAATAGGCCAACGACTGGGTGAATTCCACAGTGCCTTTGATGTCTTGGGCAATGTTTAATCCAAAACAAAACAAGCAAATACACGAACCAACAAACAAACGCCCACATACACCAAGCACCACCAACATGACCTTAAAATATTTGCTCACCCAGCTACAACGTGGCTTTTCACAAAACCTCACGGTTAATTTTTCCTTATACATTCAAATAACCCAAATGTTATCGTATGGGAGGAGGAGGACTAGAGCTTCAAATTGGAGTAAATAGAAATGAGAGAGGACATGGGATGAAAGGCAGGGATTTGCTTTAAAATATCGCCCCTCCACTCTTTCATTTTACCACTAGACCCAGCTTGCCCTCAGGAAATTCCCCACCCAATGGGGAAAAATGTTTTGCCCTCCCCCTTGGAAAAAATCGTGGCGATGTCCATGTACACCGAGTAGTTGGTGTAACTACTAGGGGACTCGTGGCACAACCCCCCCCCCTGTGTTCCCTCTTGAAATATTGAAATGTATACACAGCCTATGTACGGACCTATGCTTTCAATCTGTGCCCCTTGGAAACATTTTTGCGTCCCATGCACGGGTGCCCCCTCAGTAATTTCATCCTCCAATACCCAACTGCGTGGTTGCACAATCCAGTCGGCTTTATGTCTTTGACTTCACCATGACTCGTTGGCGCACTGCGATGAGATACCCTTTCTAGCATGGGCGTAAGTCCCGGGGATGATGGGGGTATACATCCCCCACTTTTTGAGGGCGGGTGGGCTATTGAATCATTCCCCCTACTTTTTGTGATGATAAATAATCTAAGGCGGATTGTGAAGAGTTTTCAGGATTTCCCAACCACTAATATGTTTGCAATATCACTACAAAGGGAAACCAATTTCTTAAAAGCCATAAATATACTATTCTGATGTAAGATTCTGCATGAATTTGATACACATTACAGATGTGCATATTCATCATGAACATCGCCCCCTATATAGTGTATATGGTGTAGCCCCCCCCCCCCCCCGCTTTTCAGATTTCATGGCCGGGCAAGTCATCCCCCACCTTTCCCATCCCCTGTTCCCCCTATTTCCAACGCAGATTTACGCCACTGCTATCTAGTTAGAGACGATGAGATTGGAGGTCGAGATTTAAAGACGTGCATAATCCTTCATTGCGTACCCTCCATCTCGTGTCATCCCAATGTACACTGGCGGAGATCCATCACAGAAAATGTTGTATCCCAATCTACAAGGACGGCATGCATTGCAGAAGATCCACGGATAGACAACCACGCGATCTCCCAACTTCAAACCACTCTGGCTGTCGTCCTTGGTGGCTCTCTCATCCAGAGAGAAAAGAATGCCTGATATTTCATGTCCTGACATCAGAGGCAAGTAGAAGACAATCATCATAATGTCATGGTTCATCCTGTTTACAATATTAGATCTTGTCAGTGCTATAATGCTTGAAAATCAGAAATCTTTCATTCTTTCCAGTAACCCTTAGAGGGGGTTTTGGCATGGGATAGTTTCTAGGACTGCATGAAATACTTCTTCTTGGAATCCTAAATTTTTGACAGAATTTATTTCACGCGATAACAGGGATGAAAGTTTGCGCATGCGCAATGAAAGTATAAACAGAATGCACGTAACGTGTATAGCCAATAAGCAACTACAAAACTCAAGGGCAGATCGGGGAGGGGGGTAACGGGGGCCATGCCCCGCCCCCTCTCAAAAAGATGAGGATATTTATAATCAATCAGAGTGAAGATATTTAGCGTCTGAAATTGAGCTTGTTTTGTATGGACAGAGCCATTTTGTTCAGGAAATTGCTTCATAGCAGCTGTTTAATTGCGACTGGTGCGATCGATTATTAAATGCACCGGGGACGGTGCTTACTTGTTTTACCCCCCCCCCCGGGTCTGTATCTGGCCTTGCAAAGACTTGATGACACTTGACTTTCATGTTGTAAAAAGGACAAACCCAACAGACTTTCATTTGATTGCTTCTCAAAAAATACCAATACAATCTATCAACTGCATTTCTAAAAGACATGTTGGATGAATGCATGTTTTCATTAAGTAAAGCAATGGCCACATATCACCACATCCATTAGTTCAGTAAGACAAATACTGGACTGCCATTTCATTTTGACTTAGAACCTCAGTTTGCGAATGAGGGTAAACTAGATAAATCGGGAAGATAATTAATTGGTTTGGATCGGTTTGGTTCCGTGCAATCGAAGTATTCCTTTATAGTCTAAAATTTCCATACCTGGTACACACGGGTACAAGAAACCCGGCCGGTCCTGAAATTTCAGTTCTTTCCCACCGCCCAAAGTGTAGCCTCCTTCCCAGAAGTGTACGTCAGTATGGCACACACCACTATAGGAAATCTTTGGCAGATTTTAAACAAAATTGTATTCATCCAATACATAAAAGCCGAGTGTGATATGAGACTGGTTTTGTTTTGGTTGATAATTTCGTCTGTCGTTCAGGATCAGATCTGTATCAGGGGAAAGATGAAGTCAGGACAAAATATACGAGTCTGTAGCTTATCCTCTTTGTGTTGTTAACCCAAAATTTGCTCACAGAAAGATTCTTTAGTAAGAAAACTTAGCTCACTCGCTTTCTGTCATGAACTAAAATAATAAATCACTAAAGTAAACAAAGTTTACAATAGCAAATTATCCAAACTTCTAGAGAAAAATCAGGGCAGAAATACAGCTTTATTCATAAAAACTATTCTGATGTGGATGACATCAATCAGACCTGTCCAGTTACTCGTATCGCGAGTATCAATAAGGCAACATACAGCCCACGTCAAACATTATAACCCAGCACACATGAGTCACACTGGCGTTTGAAGTCCCGGACCCGCCCCTTCCGATTGGCGGCTCAGCTGCGGAATAGAGTACTTCGAGAACTTCAGCTGTGACATTGTGAATCCTTAAAGCCAACACGATCAAACCTGAAATTACAACCTTGGGAACTTTGTGACCGTCCACAGTTTAGCGAAAGAGGAATAAAGGGGTCGTCTATGGTTTCACTTACATTACCACATGCACAATGTTGTCTTATCACGAAGTTTGTACCATAGCCAATTTGCGATGTATTTCAAGACTTAACAAAATGGTTCTCATTGATCATTTAAACTGATTTCCAGGGACACCTCTCTACACGCACTGTCGATGACTGATGGGTAAAACATCACCGTGCATATTAATACCAAGTCTACGTGGAAAAGCTATTTGAACAAAAACTATTGAATCTGAACTACAAAGTAACGGTTCGTTTGTTCCTCTGTATCGGGGCTCCCTCTTCTGCCATTAATTTATTAGAATAATAATATCATATCAGTTAATCATATCAGTTATATAATATCAGTTCTATTTTTAAACCTCTCCTTTTGTAAAATATTGTCTAACTAACCGACGTCACGCTAGAATGCAACGTAATTTGATGTGCGCTAAAGAGGACAAACTATGGTAGCTCATCACAAACGCCGCGCAAAATCTTTTGCAATAATATACGAAATAAGATCAGAATGATTTTGCAGTTGTGGTAGCGCTGAAGAGAAAAAAAAACCTAGGCATTAATCGATCCTAAAAGCTGCATGATTCACAGCCATCTTCGTGCAACAGTCCATGAAAATCGACTCTCTCGTGAACTTAGTCAACGCACATAATAGGCCTACAGTTTAAGACTCGGTCCAGGCATCCATACTTCCCTTATGCTCAACAAACCTTTACGACAGCTCCGCCATCCGGGGCTTTTGGAATCGGATAATCGTCAAGGAAGACTAGGGGCTTCCCAGGCGCTGTCACGCGGATGCACTTCATGGCTATGAGTTTTGTCTTCGAAAGGCGGGGAACAACCTGATTTGCCTGACGTGGGTGCTATGCCCTACATAGCCTGCCATGCATAAAACATAATACACAGAGGTTGCTGAGGCCGCAGTTCAAATCATGACAGTATAAAGCCGCCTAGCGGCTCAAGAAAGAAAACTCTGCTAAAACGTGTTATAACCATGGGCGCAATTCGAGTGTGCACGTTAATGCATGGGTGTGCCTGTTGCGGCGCCTGCGCCTGCGCATTAACATGCATTGCGCAGGCATAGCCCAACCCAAACGGCGCCCGTGCGATTACGGTGCACGATGTTTCACCCTCATTCAACGTGTGGAAATTAACGACTTCGACCTTGCGCGGTCGTTACTTGACCAGACCCTCGTGAACCATACGGGAATGTCCTTTTCGTTTTGAAGACTTCGTTTGCACAAAGTTAACAAACAATCACGTTGAAACTCTTTAAATGTGCTGTAGAAGGTTTAAACCGAATAAAACACTACAGAATCGTGAAAAGAAACGCTACATAAATGTGAAATTTAGCCTCAAAGTGGTTGCTAAGATGACAGATTATTTCCATTTTCAATCAATCACTTGGTCTTTTTTTCCACTAAATTTCTCAATTTTAGAAGTCTTTCCAGAAGAGTGAGACACTGCATACGACAGGCCAGAATCTCAACTACACAATACAATCAGTTCTATGTAGCTAGATTTGTTTGTTCGACTTTCGTGACTTATATTTGATACTTCTGCGCAGCACGAGCAATACGTGTTTTACATGCACAAAACCGATCCAGCCACCGTGACGTACCGTGCACGGTACACTGCGGCCTGTTGTTATACGCGTACCACGGCGTACATGTGACAGGAACATGGAAATTTTCGACCGAGCCGGTGTGTATGTGTTCATGTGGTTCATGCGTGTACACACAGTACATGTAAAACAGGGGGATAAATACCGTAAATTTCAACATTCTCCTGGCAATTTTATAATGACAGATAGACCCCGGTTTCATGCTAACTTACTGTACTTTTTGTTCGTCTTTCGTTCCCGAGTCACTGAATTCGTACGCTCGCAAGTTTATGCGGGATGAACGGAATCGGGGAGAGAAAAAAAATTATCCGAAGGCCGTCAGCAAATCTAAAACCTTCACACCTTTCTCAATCATAGTCCACTTTTGAAAACTTCAGTAAAACTTCGAATTCTTTTTTTAAGCCTTCAGAAATCGCATCAAAACGTAAAGAAACTACTGCTTACGAAAAGAGCTTTTCACTCATTAATAATATGAGCCAAAGGGGTTACAATAAGACATGCCATAATCTGGAGGGATCATAAAAATATTTCAATGAATCCCGAATTTGGGACGGATAGTTTCCAGTTCGGGCAATTTTTTTTTCACAAAAAGCCCCAAAATTAATTGCGGACCTATTTTGGACAGAGGAGGGCGGCTACATTCAGTTTTACTACTATTTGGGGGGTATCTTTGGGGCAATGTGGTTTTGCACTGTTTTCTATGGCGCGTATGTGGTGTAGTGCAACCTACAACAATTTACGCGTATTCATGAAATCTTCATATTACGTTCTTTGGTTCAAATTGCCAAGCTGATACACACGTACATTGTATGTGCATGCCCCACGGAGACAACGTTCATTACAAGTGCGTATGCGCATTTCATTTTCAAGCTGACAACGATTTTCGTGCAAGCAGACGACATTACAGCGCTGAATTTTTCAACGACTGACCTCGTAAAATACCAAAGTGGGGAGGAAGAAATAAATTTCGAGAGGATCTTATCACAAACAACACAAAATTTTCTTCTATTAGTAAGATTTTTAAATAACGACAAATCCAAGAATAGTATAAAACATGGATTTTACGGCCCCTTTCTAACAACGAAAAACTTTTTGCACTAATTTCATCAAATTTGTAATAGAAAATGAGTTTTCTGAGACAAAAATCTACCACCAAATTTAAGATTCACCCTTAATTCATTGATTTCGGGCATTTGTTTTGAATCCACCGGATATTTTTGTAAGAATCATGTCATTTTGAATTACCCCCAAATCGTATCGATCCCCCACAGTGCACGAAAATTCAAGGCCATTTTGTATCCATTTTTATTACCAAAATGGTATATCCAACATTAGGACGATGATTTTCTGTTGATTGTACGAATTTCGTTAGTACTGATGCCATTTCATAAGGTAGAACCGTTAAATTAGTAACATTCCCTGTTCATCACTTCCGCTGCTGTGAACACTGACCAGTGCGGTACCGAGACGTCGAAGTCGTCGCGTCTTCCCAAGCACATGTTCATGAGCATGACGCGTACTCTTGTAAACACGCATACACGCCACTACAAGAATATTACTCAGAAGTCTGCCCTTACAAGAGTATAGCGCAAGTGTATCCTCTTTTTGCCAAAGGTTTGTCAAAGCAATGATTCCTGACTCAAAAAAATAAATTAATTGGGACATAATTTTTTTAGACGAAGTATTTGACGTATGTTTCTATAACAAATTTCTGGATTTGCACGATTTGGTGCGAAGATTTGGTTCGATCAAATTCAAACTCATTTTACAATTTTTTTACGGCGGATTCCCGGTTTTTGAGTGCAATGGATTTAGACAGTCTTCTAGTTTTCATGAATCAAGTTTTTATAACCAGGAAAAGCTGTTTTTAATAGACATTTGTCAAATTTGGCAACACTCTATGATTCAGGTGAAAAATAAATAATTTGTGAGTTATTTAAAGCAACATTAGGGGCCAATTTTTTCCATTTTTTTAGGCAGGACACAAATCAGTGCTATTGAAAAATAAAACGGTTAATTTGATTTGGATTTAATAGAAAGTAGGTTTGCGGTAGCACCATGGACGTATCTCTTTTGTGAGTATTTGCGGTTCTGAAAAGAACCAGTGGTTGAGATTTACAAGAACAGAACAGTTCCGCAAGACACAGGCTTCATCATATGTGACATCTGGCGCCCCATCCTCAACCCTTCTTAGTTCGCCTTATGGGTCCTCCATACCCTTGGCACCCATGTTTACCCATCCACACCCCCATCAGTACTGCCACACCTGAGTAAGTTTATCGCCACGCATTACCGAGCCAACCTAATCCCTTCTCCAGAGTTCCCGCCTTCACGCATCATCGGACTAATCCCTGTCTCCAGAATCCTCCACCAGACAACTTAAGCTCCACTCCCAGTCAGTATCCGGCATTCTCCTAATGAACAGCAGAGCACACTGCTTGAAACGTCGAGTGCTACTAGTTCTTTTCAGAACCGCAAGTACTCACAAAAGAGACACGTCCATGGTGCTGCCGCAAACCTACTTTCTATTATACCTCTTCACCATGCAAACCTTCAAGACTTATTTAATTTGGATTTGAAATGAAAAATCTAAGTATTTGTGCTCCGTTTACTGGAAATCTATTCCCAAAGATGGCACTTCATTTTGCAATCAGATCTAGAGCGCGCGAAATCAGACATGCGCGTTTTGGTAATGAGCGCCATGAACATAATTGTACAACATAGCCTACGGGTGAGAGATAACGCGTAACGACACACAGCTGTGGTTGTGAATGTAGCTCGGTAATGTAGGGTGGTTTACATTCAAATGCAAAGAATACATTTATTATGTATATTATCAAGGGCTGTTGAACATTAAACTACAATACACGCATAGACCCTTTACACACAGCATTTTCAAATCGTTTAACGAAACCGACTCAAAATGTCAGAATTCAGTTACAGTTGGCAAAGAGACTCTGCCAATGTGATAACAAAGTGTACACAAAACAGGTCACATCTCTGGGATTGATCACTTACCATGGCAACAAGGAATAAAACAATGAAAATTACAGGAGAAGTGGCACTCACGTTCGTGTGGGTTTAGTTCGGGCTGCACAGAGACAACGATTTGTACGTACGCCCAACGTATGTTCATGCCACCAGTTTGTGCTCATGCGTACTGAATCCCACTACAGCCAGAAGCCTGTGAAATGGCTCTTGACTCAGACAGGTGGACCTTAAAAGTAATCGATCAACATCAAGCTCAGATATAGTTGTTTGGCTCTTAATTCTATACCGATTAGTATTTAAACACTCAAAGTCCCCTTTTGCTAACTTGCACACGATAAATATCCGTTTTCTGCCAAATTTTGCCCGTCTTTCTTACGTACCTCCAAAATAACAGAATCAGAAGTTTGAAGTGAAGCCAACATTTCAGAGGGGATTTTTTTTTTCAGTTTTCCCGAGATTTCCCTGACATTTCTCTACATGTGAATAGTGAGGAATATCATTAACGTTCCAATGAGAAAGTATCTTGCAGAAGGAAACCCTATGGATGAAAACGGAAAGTTTCTGTTTGGGCCTTTTAGTCGGCAATTTGACGTCGTGGTACGTATTAGTGCACTGCAGTAAAAGTTAACTCGTACCGAAACGCACTCGCCCCCAGGTGTGTATGGCGTATCTTATTTTTGACCGCTGTCCGGTCATAACGGACTCAGTACGGAAGTTTGAATCCGCATGAAAAACGAACCGCATTTCAGACGAATGGCTATCGATCTTGAAGAAATGAAACCGATGGATACAAACAATTCGTGAGTCTTCCAGACAGTTATCATCGATGACCTGAGGGGAATTCGACAGTATATATATTGATAAACACTGTATGCGGTACTGTATGCTCAGTACCGCATACAGTGTTTATCAATATATATACCTTGGGTAAGGGCAAAACCCGTCATATAAATTAACCGCTACAATGTTAGACGGCATTATACCTTAGGACAGTGGCTATAGCATCAAGTGGAAGTGGAGAAGTAAACAGAGCGAGTTAAGATAAAAAGTTTGGACAGTCCGTTTGCTTATGTAATAAGCTACAGCCCCCATCCGCCCATATTTGTGGGAACAACAACGTGGGGACAATGCCCCCCCCCTTGGTCTTAATTTGCCAAAGAAAACAGTGTAAAAGTAAAGACTTAACGCGGGATGGGACTGCAGAAACCCCTCAGTCTTCAGAAGCTTGAAGGGAGCAGTCACAAAATAATCGTGGGGATGGCGAGATCAGTTGTTCAGATTTCCACTGCAACACATTTATTTCACGGAAAACTATCACAAAAGTTTTCTAAATGAACAATATGACGGAAATGTCTACACAAGTTAATGAGGGACTCCATCAAAGAATTGACCAAATGTCCAATGCAGTATTCAACACTATTTAAGATGTCAGTTACTGATGACTTCCAAAAACTTTGATGACCGTGCTCAAATGACCAAGACCATATATTTGTACTAGTTAACACGGTAGCTATTCAGGTATAACCTGTGAGGGCAGATATGGTAGTTTAGCCGTTTGCGCCAGAATGGCAGCACCAGGCTAGTATACTCCCCAGGGAGCTGAGATGGTTTCAGGAATGTTCAGATGATGTGTGAGCCCAATGTGCAGGGATAATGATCATACAGCATCTCGGAATGGTTTGCTAGATAGATGGAGCTTTACAAGTGCTTGTTATTATTATTATTATAACCAAAAGCAATCATCAAACTTTCAAAAGAAAGAATAAAAATAAACCGACTGAACAAGGAAACCAGATGGAAGTAAGAAAAACAAAACACAATCTTCAAAGAAAGTTATACTAAATCAAAACACACCCCAGTTTAAATAACCGAATACAGAAAAAAAGAGAACTTCCAGTTAACCATAATGAGGATAACATATGCGGCAAAGTAAAACGGAACAAATTAAAGAATATTAAAAAAAATCAAACATCAAATATTACAATTAAAGCGAATCAAACATCAAGCGCGAAACATCTTTCAAGCACAACTAAGGGCTAAAGTGTTGAAGACTATAGTCCTAACAGCAAACTATATGTACTTAACAAATTTGAATTACAGTCATTTAACATAAAGCAAGGCAAACTCAGAAGTTGACTGGTACATAGCTTTTAAAAGAATAACTGCTTTTTAATAAAATATGTTAGTTTGCCAAAACAGCGAAAATTTTACCATATCATCACATAAAGCGCAAACAATGGACCCCAAACAAAGACTGTAGCCACAGATGCAATGCACTCAGAATTAAAGCCGTCGTTCCAGTGGTCCTGGTCAAACTATGTTTTCTGTTACCCTTCCCAGTTTCCCCTGCCACAGACGACTTAGCATTCCTGCAACCCTGTGCCTGCCCCCCCCCCAAAAAAGAAAACCGGCACCTCAGCCACGCAGATAAACGGAAAACTGTCATGATATATTCAAAACTGCCAAGCTCTTAAATCATCACAAAAAGCGTAAACTGATAAGACTTGAAATAATGCCTTATTTTAACAAAAAAATGGTTTTCCTGAATGGCATTTTCAAAGTGTGTTTTGAATACAAAAACGCCTTACCCCCTACGTACTCATCAACTAGATGTTACTTGCAAACCTGCATCTTTGCATACCTAAAGAATACAAATCAGTTTTCATAATTATACATGATTAGTATTTAGAAGACCGATCAGGCAGTCTGGGAAAACATAGCCTATGGATGCGTTACTAAGGATTTAGGACTTAAAGGACTTCGATTCCATCTTATCTTAGTTTCCACACCGTTTCCAAGGCCGCTAATCATCGTTACACTTAAGTATGGCCCGTCCGACCACCTCCCCCCGTGCCAATTTCTCCATGATTTGGATACCTTCTTCCATTGGATGAACGCTGTACTTCAGGTTTTCGTATATGGACTGGTGAAAAAAGAGCGGAGAGAAAATGTTGATTAATTTCACAACCCTATACAGCTCCCTAGAGGTAAACGATGTCATTGGTTGCGCACTCGGAAGCCCACTAAGAAGCATCCTACGAAGGTTCGATTTACATTGCTTGTAGGCGACCCGCCCCGATCCGGTGTCGTGACCCCAAAAGTATACTTTTAACAGGGAAAGAGGTGAGATTAATATTAATCACCGGCATTTTCACGACGAGGTCCACCAGTCTCTTCTGCTGGGTGAGGCTGCCTACTAAGACACCCTTCACACCGTTTGCAGTCATCACCAAATCGGGCAGAGAAAACCGTGCCTCACCCCCGAGCAGTCCAGTGACAACGTATTGCCCTTTCTGTATACAGGAGAGATAATTAATGCAATTAGATGCAATCCATGCATGAAAAGGCAGCATCCCCTCAGACCAACGCAATGCATTGAACACATAAATGCACCGTAAACAGTTCTGCAGTTTCACTGAAGAGAAGACGGTTATGTTGGAATACTTGCCGCTTCGTGACGTCTCCCTTACTCAGCCAAAGATAGATTTTTTTCAAAAGAGAAGTGGAAAGGCTACATCTGGGGACTTGAATCGCAACTTTAGTCTTCCACTTTCAATACCCAAAAAGCCAATTAACTACAAATCAGCAACAATTATGATATCTAAAGATCTTACAGAGGATGGTCCCTTGTACGTACACTGCAGACGCGTCTTTGAAATTTTTTGTATTACAAAGTCTTGCGATGTCATCCCTGTTATAGAATATATTTCTCCACTGCATTTACCATAAAAGCCTGTTCTGTTTCTGCAAAGAAACCTGAATTTTGAGAATGATCCTGCCTCGTTTCATACCTGGAAACTGATGCAATCACGCATGGACATCATAAATATACGCCCCCGCATGCCGGTATTTTGTCCCCAATTAACAATGCTGAAATTTCCGGCCATCCCAAACTTATAAAATGAAAGCTGCATTGCGTACCGTTTGCAGGGACTTCATGGCGACATCAAACGTCTTTGTTACACCGACGAAATCCAGCACGAGGTTCACGCCGTTTCCGGTGCGGGAAGCCGCCTTGACTTGCTGTGCGATGCTGTCACTGGGCTGGTCTCGACCCATGAGCAACGGCACGGTATCGCGGACACTACTAATAACCCCATCTAACGCTTCTTGCTAGGATACGAAACATCCCCAAAGTTACTCAGACCAAGAAAATAATTCCATGGAGAGTTTCAATGGTGAAACTTACAAAAGACCAAAAGTGTAAAAGTAAAAGTACATACGAATTTATTCTTACCAAGATCTCGAGCAACGGACACTGTGATCTGCAGCCTTAGTTACCACGCTGTAGTGGCTTTGCAATGTTAGAAAAGTGGATAACGTCGTCAGAAGAGGAACATAAAATCCATCTGTGTTATGTATAACCAACACCCCGAGGACCATCACACGACCACATAAAACCATCAAAAGGCGTCCAGTCTGACTCTATGTCACAAATACCATCGTCAAACTTTCACCTCGTCCCCTGTGTCTGTTCTTGTGAAAGGCCTCGTTACGGTGTCAACCACAACACCGAGTAAAATGCCCGTCGCACAATATACTCCTATCCCGGAAGTGAAGCTGAGTGACTCTTCAAATTCCGTCATCCAGTTCTAAACCTCAGATCACGTACGTTCGTTGTTTTTACACCTAACCTATGTATTTGCCTGTGTGTCTAATTAGCGCGTGTGATGTGTTGTCATCACACCAAGGTGCCCTGTCCTACGTGCTACATTATAGTTGTGCTGTGAAGCTTACACATTTTGTACTGTCTTGCTTAATTAATATCCCTCGAAGATAAAATTCGACAAGCAAATCGCCACGTTAATGTCGTTCAAATTACAGAAAATGCTAATCATGCATGCTACCACCAATAATCATCTTTACAAGCTTGGAGAACGATCACTAGACATAGTTTGAGTGTACACAAGTTTAGTTCCGGGATCAGAGTCATAGAAAGGAAAATCTGTTTCAGCTAAAGGAGTAAATGTACCTGTGAATTAATTTGCTGACATAAATCTGGGACGTTTTCTGAGTTTCTTCTTCGCCAAGTTACAAAAGTCTACAGTTGGCACCAAATAAAGCTATTCCATACCTCTCGTATCATAGTAACAAAGCTATATTTATAAAGCCTGAGGACATAGCTCATATGGTATCATGAAACTGAAGATGCAACATCAAGTCGTTGCTTAAATTGGTTGAATACGAAAGTCTTAATTACGACAAGCAATGATACATGCATCGATGGGACCGACCAGTTGCGGCAGCATTCGCTGCAGCCGGCTGCAGCCAGAATTTTGGGACAGGAAGCAATCTTTCGAAAGACTAATGGTGAAGCTAACCTTGATTTCTGCGCAAATGATTTGTGTTTCTGGAGGGTACATAGCCCTAGCTAAGCGAATTCCCCACTGGCCAACTCCACCTGCTCCAATCGCCAAGACAGAACAACCACCTGCAGAAACAAGCAAACGTTTCACGTCCAAGACGTATTAAATCTGGTCTGGTCACCGTCTCCTTTATAGAGAAAAGTCCTGCAACGAAATCGCATTCATTTGTTAATTTAAGTGTTAAAAATCTGTAAATTCTATTTAAAACATAACAATTGCTCAGCAAGATTTTGTTTGAGTATGATGTAAACCAACACATTCCCTGCAAATGGTCGTTTTAGTCAATGAAAACAATTTTGGTGAGGTTATTTGGGGTTTAAGGGTTTCTTTACCATAATTATTGTCATGATGTTGGTACACTTCTCAGTCAAATTCCCCTTTAGATTTCGTGTGTGTTGGTTGTGTGGAAGGATAAGACAGTGGGCACTCTAACATAAATGCCCATATGTTTTTACTGGCAACTCGGGAGGACGGGCCCTCCCCCGCTCCAGGCATTTGCCATCTCCCCCACCCCGACCTTAAGTCCCGCCCCACCCCCCACCCCCTTAGAATTGGGAGAAATAGGGGCTTTACATTATTGGAATTCTCTAACTAACCTTGTGAATGCTTATTCCCAGTGATAATGTTTACTATGAAAAATTGGCCCTTGGTCAAACCACTGCTGGCAAGTATATGGTCTACCTTTGGTCTCGGTGATGGTTTTAACCAAGCCGACGGCTACCTCGACTGCATGGTAACCAGTTATTCCACTGCAGGGGAGAAGACTGGCCACCGGGAAAGGTATGGAGTCAGGCACAGGAACCACGTACCGCAGCTCAGGCACGGCGACATACTGCTCAAATCTGGGGAGTAATCATGGAATAAAAATACTACTAAGACTTCAACCAGAGAAAATCACTCTAAAGCAACTGAAAAGTCTATCAAAATTTAACGAAATTTGTCCAAACTGGCCTCGCCTAAAACATGAGCCGCTCAAGCTTCCTGCCACGTGCCTCGTTTCATTTTATAGGAATGATAATATCATTAAGCACTCTATGCCTAATGCAGCCAGAGCTGCTATTCATCCAAACAAGTTCATGTACGTGGCTGCTGAAGAAACAAAGGGATCGTAATGGTACAGTGTAATCCATGTTGCACTTTTGGAATCATAGAGTTTAGTAGATGAGGTAGCGTATTTAGCCATCTGTTCTAATTAATATAACACCTGTAGTAGCGAGGTACCTTGTTCTTGACAGGCAGTACATGAGGAATCACATAGGATCACGCCGCACACGAAGATGAAGGAAAAGACCGATCCAGTAATACATGTAAACCCTGCGCACTTCGCACTTGAGCGGGTAGCGCGTGTTCTTCTCCGATGCTACAGGTTCCAGCAGCGCTCATAATACGCGGGTGCACGCATGTTGGACATACATGTACATCAAGCTGTGACTGGTAAAAAAAAATGGGGCGGGGCTTAATAGATCGGTCGGTTAGAATGTCACCCTCAATGGTACTTCCATTCGGGGTGGAGGCAGGGGCTGAATTCGACAAGTAACTTCTCTTTGCGTACCCGCCATTATGTGACAGCCCAATGGATTTAACTTCCGATATGGGGCCATTACAGAAGACGCTGTGATCGGCTTTACAAGGGCCGCATTCACCACAGAAGATCCACGGAAAGACAATCACACGATCTCCCAGCTTCAACCCACTCGCGCTGATGTTCTTGGCGGCGCTCTCGCCCACGGAGAAAAGAATGCCGGCTATTTCATGTCCTGGAACCGATAGCAAGAAAACGGTAAATTTGCATTATACGTGTACAATGCTGCATGGCTCCCCTGTCAAATCACCTCATCTTTTTGACCAATGCAATAGTTTTTATACGCGATTAAAATCCGATCAAAGTTCGTGTTCTTATGTTCCCGAATGAGGAATTTTGATTTGATGGGACGATTTAATTTGGTTTAATTTTCGTTTTCCTTTTTTTTTTTGGATGGGGTTACATAAGCAGATGCAGTGTCAATGACATTTCAATTAATCAAAATTTTCATGGAGAAATTTAACAGTGAATCCAAGTCAGTTATTGGTGAGCCTGGTGTGCAAGAGGGCCACAATAATAAATCTCCGCATCGAGGATGAAACCCTCAGCTACGTCTCCTGCCTTGACAGGGGGACCTGATCATTCAGTGCGAACTCGATCCCCACTATGCTCAACCCTGATCACGCTGGCTATTTAGAACCTAACTGACGTATGGGTGCTGCACTTAAAAGTAGAGGGGCGTCTTAGAATGACGGTAGCTGCTTGTCGTCAATATTATTGGTACAGCAGTGAACCAGTCTACCACCAGCCTCTCTCTTCGTTGCCGTTGAGGGGGTACTTTGACAGAGCCAATAACTTTTTCCGTTGCAGAAATTTCAAATCATCTCGTGCGAGACTAGTGTGGGCTGTTTTCCACTGGTTCCGACAGCAAACGTTTGAAACTGACTCTGAAGCTGTGAATGCACAAAGCCTGAGACGTAGAACGAAGTCGAGTATTGGAAATGGCCAAGGTTTTAACTTAACTCCCGGTTTTGGTGGCGGCTTGGCCAACGAAATAGGTTCAGATTGGATTAATTTTCAATTCGGGGCATGTTTGAGTGACGACCATTTGTCAACACAGGTCAGTTCTCCTTGGCACTAAGGATGCATTGTGTGTAGACCTTTACCGGGGAAAATCGGCAAGTTGTTGGCAAAATGGTGGTCTTTTGAACTGCCCTCACAATCAGATTATTGATGCAAAGTCCTGCAGATTGCGGGTAAACTATATTCTTGATACAGCTCACTCTCGCCCCTAGATATTCACCTGGGACGACGGGATACTTGCAGCCAAGTAGCTCAAGACACTTTGCTCCTTCTCCACCCTCCCAGACGTGTACATCAGTGTGGCACACTCCAGCGTAGGCGATCTTAGTATTGAGAATATAAAAAATGAATACGCTTTAAAAGAATTGTTTTGAAAACGAGCTCAAAATGTTCAAAGTTGAAATGAATTGAACATATCTTGACTTTAAAGTGTGGCATACAGCGAAAAGTCCACGTTTTCTACATTCAGGGGAACTATACAAAGTCGTACTATTACTATATACTATTTGTGTCGTTAGACACTATAGATTTCGAATTAACGATTCCATTCATCTTGGCTAATTGTATCAGAGCAATATTTGACTCAATTACCAGAAACACAGTGCATATCGCTGGGACTCGGCATCCTAAGAGACCTATGACTTAACATGAAAAGAGCAATGAAAATCCTTCAGGTTTATTCAGACTACGTGACATATTGAAAGTAATATACGACAAATCACATTACTCATCATGATCACAACTATTATCCTGAATGTTTCACCAACACAGTTTGAGGACTCAATTCAAGCAAGGATACGGGATCCAGAGGACCAACGAGGCCGTCCCCGCCCCCCTCAAAGAGGAACCAGGTATTTCGTGTTCAAAGTTATAAGAGGAAAACGGTTTCTATTTGGGGGGGGGCTCCTTCAAAAAGCAAGTTTCCGTTCGTTGCGAACATTAATATGGAAACAGGGCTTTATAATACACTTCCATTTTTGTTATTGGTAGACAGAATATTACCACAGGCCTGATCGCGTGACTCGTCGAGGAAACAAAACTGAAAACAGATTTAAGCACATATCCACAGTTATAATATACATGTACATACACGTAAAGCATTTATTGAAGTGTGCAAGCCTATTTCTGCGCACTGTTATGTTCAGGAGACTCCCGCGTGTTAGTTTTCAAAGGGCCTGACCCCAGCCAGGACTTGATATACATAGCCCCCGTTGAACTTTGAATTCGCGTCACAGAGAGGTTTTTCGCACTTTAAAGGGACCAACTGTGAAGTTGGTTTTTTCCTCCATAGAGTTGGTTTTCGTCCAATTACCTAGTCCCTGATACCTTCGAGAGTCCGTCGTCTGGAACTTTTGGGACCTGTTTTATTATTGTCAGGCAGAAGTACGACCATACCAACAAAGGCGGCTTCTTGGGATACTTCCTGGCCCAAGACGGTGTGGACGTGGGCGCATTCGATTAGTTTCCTTGAGCTTGTACCCGGGCAGGATTTACTCACAGGCGGAAGCCACAAAATGAGACAAGTCAAGTGATTCTCGCTTGTTTTCGCCTGGCTATTGCGAGGAACGTAAAGTCCAAGGTCATATATCATAACACTTTGAAATTGGTTTGTATTTTATTAAAAGTATCCTTCATCCGAACATGTTTTCTGCAACTTTCTATTCTTTTTAAATGTATAGGAACAACTGAGGTGACATCTCTTTTCTGCACTGAAATGTTAAATTTTATACGTTTCCGTGTGTTTCCAGAGAACTTGTGAGGGCTTTATTGCTGTGACGTCATTACAGGGGGATCATGGGGGGGGGGGGGTTCTGTTCAAACCAGGAACCCAAAATTTGCTCACAGGGAATATTTGTGAAAAGGATTTGCTCGCTACTGTCATGAACTGGAACAATAACGAAATATCTAAGTACAAGTCACACATTAAATGCATAAACAGTTGTACCACTGGCTTGGGCCCGACATATACCTTTGTCCAAAATCTACAAATTCGCATTAGCATAAGAAATTTACATGAAAGTACATGTACCTCTAAGCTCAGTGGAGAGTATTTAGTCTGCGAGAACCGCACTAACATAACTGCAGGGCCCTTTAAATACAATCATGCAAACGTTTTGTTGTCTGCCAGGGGAGGTAACCAGCCTGAGCCGCATCAAAGGAATAAGCCAATTTATTATCAGATTAATAATACATCTGTAATGGCTCTCACAATTTATTTTGTAAATAATTAGCTACCTTCATACTCCGCAGAGTGTGCGTCTCAGGCAGCTACCATAGACCCGCTCACAAGCTGGCTACAACGCTCGGGGCTAGCCTGGGTATAACGTGATGGTTAAATTGAATGGACTGGTGTAACCCTTTAGTTACACATTTACACAAGTTAATCGAACGCAATGGACCAGAGGCTTACTAAAATTTAAAATTCGGGGCCTATGTCTGCATTTCAAGTGAAGGTGTCTTGATCAGCCATGGTTACGAAACAAGGTTTGCTCTTTCGCCCTCAACAATAGCGATCGTCTCATACTGCAGCTGCCCTTGAATAGGGTAAGGGCCAACTACGGAAGCAGCATTCCTGCGTTGTTCCCAGGGTCTTCTTCAAGCAAGCTCTTGGCTCAGCAGTGAACCTTGAGGGTGATAGCCTAAAGGGTCCGTGCAATGCGTTAATATTTTCTCAGCAACGGAGGCTCATTTGCTCAGAACTGAACTTCAAAGGTTCACGAACGACTGTGAAATGCGCGCGTAGCATGGTCGCATCGTTACCAACAAATTGAACATTCCCGTCCAACGCGGCTCTTTTTAACTGATGAGGGAGCGCTTCTGCTCGAGGCAGGTTTTCTGTTCAAATTGTGAACCCAAAATTTGCTCATTGAAAACATTTTGGAGAAAATCCACATTGCTTTGCACTTCCATAGTGAGTAATTTCCAAGAAAAGAAAGCGTAAGACAAAATAATATCAAAACTTGCCGCAGTTTTTACGTCCAATTTATTGCACAACTGGGGTTTCCTCTCAATAATGACAAAGTTTTGCTTGTTTGGAAATTTGCATAGAAATCAAAGAGCACCAAAATACCTTTTGAAATAGCAAAACCAAATGTGACGGTTTTCTTTGACTATAAGGTCGTATTTTCCAAAAGGCACAGTGAAAACTGTTCACAGGGTCTGCAAAGAGTAGGTCCTATCAAAATCTGAGGTAGGCCTATAACAATAAGAATTATAGTTGGTGACCTGGGGAACGCTGGTGTATCACATGACGTACAGAACATTTACCCGTCCCTGGATATTGGGGCTGGTCAAATATAGTGAAATCGCATAATCAACTGACATCATCACTAATCTGATCGTATTACTTGAGAATATGCCCTGAAATGGAGACTGAACACATACATATTTACGTGCATATGGGAAAACATTAAGTGAGAGCGCGAGAAACTGATCGTTGTATGCGCCAGTCTCTTTCTGCCTGTGCGCACTATACGCTGTTCACGCTTTCCCAAGTTTTAGTATTGACACGACCCACATGTACCCCTTTTGAACTTTAAATTCCCACCACAGAGATTTTTTTTCGTACACGGATTCCAGATGCGCATAGGTAGAACTAGAACGAGGAACGTTCTGAAACGGTTGTCCAATTTCTCATCCGTGAAAGCATTCTCCCAAAGTTGCTTAAACGCATTGTCTTTAAAACACTGGTGCTTACAATAAAAATAGCAAGTATGGGGGAGGGGGAGTTGTCCCCTCGTACCCCCAGCTAGATACGTCAATGTTTTTCTCTTTCTTGTGTGTCCACGTTGTTTTTTCCTACAATTATTACCGACGTGAACCATACCTTTACAACTGCCCCATCGTCAGGAGCTTTTGGGATTGGCTCATCGTTCACGAAGACCAGCGGCTCCCCGGGCGTGTTCACACGGATACACTTCATGGTTGCAGTTTCGCACTTCCTGACAGTAGGGAGAGGACTGTCCAATGCCCCTGTCGTTCTGCCTAGATCTGCCACGATTGTGAGCTTAGGTTTACACGTACTCACTGCTCGTTGCAAAACTGTGCATCACTCCCACGCGGCCCATGTGGAGGGCGCGGGCAAAGTGTAAAAGCATCATTCAGGCGTCATTCCCAGGGTCTGCCTCCAAGCAAGGTGTCAAAAGTTAAACCCTGGGAGGTTATGCGACTCATCGTATTCTGATTGGTTACAGCAACACGACAAAATTGATTTTATGGTGTAATTGGTGATTTTCATGCTTCCATATAACCCTCCTCGCAAAAGAATCTCTGGCTCCATTTATGTTCAGCACATTTATCACTTTACTGTAGTCCGTGTATATAGAGTGGATTGGACTCAGATTTGCTTAAAACCTGTGAAAATGGCTTCCTTATTTTTGGGTTCTGTGAAAAGATGTCAACAGGCCACGTGGCAACACGCAGTTTCACCCGGATCGGTCGCTATAGCAGTGAGCATGCATGCAAGAGTTTGGTTGGCAACCGTTCGTCGAGCGTTGCTTAAAATAACTGCAATTTCTTTTGTAAGTGGATTTTGCCGTTTCATTAATCGGTGATTGGTGGTTGCTGCGCGTTTTCTTAGTTCCTGCCATTTTATGAAGCTTCGAAAGTTTGTCGACTACCCATGAGGTCCTGGTCTTTGCCCATGACAATGGGAGATTGGCGTCAGGTCGCTTGGGTCAATGGGAGCGCCCTTTTTTGTTGGTATCCAAGACAGTGATGAACGTTGGAAAAGAGGCACCTTCATGGAAGTAAAAGGAACACTGCAGGTGGCGCCTTTGTGGTGCGAACTCAAAGTTCAAAGAGGGTTGTGTGTCAAGCCCTAGTTTTGTGCAAGCCACTCTTTGGTATTGTCAACATTCTCATCATCGAGGCTGATAACATACATAAAAGAACGTGGAAACAGACCCGCGCATAACAGGAGTCCGGCACTTCTTCAGTAAGCGGTTCAACATGCAAACTGCATGTGTCTCCGATTCAACAAGTCATGCGATCAGACTACTGATTTGTACACATTTTAGAAAACAGACGAAAGTCAGTTGTTTCGGGCTCTTTTTTTCGATGACATTTTAACTGTATTAGGGTTTGAACTTCAGAGATTCGAATTGCTGTCTTTTTTTTAGTATCAATATAAAGTAAGGTACATACACCAGAGTAATCATAAAGGGAGCCTAAGGACTCTGCAAAGCTTGAACCAAAATCTCTTGAAACGCTATGTTTCCTTTTTCTCTTTTTAAAGAGGCCATAATGTGAATTTGACTTTGTACGACTTTCTACTTCTCTTAAGTGTGAAAAGACTACCTAATATCACTTCTTTACACTCATCACAACTTCCACTTTTTAACATTTGAGATATTCTACCCGCTTTTCCTCACAAATGAAGGCCACTGTTGCTGTGATGCTCTTACACAGGGTTTATGGTAAAGGGTGTGTTGGCACTGTGAACGCGACATTTGCTTATTGAAAATATTTGCTCGTCCAGAAACTGCCACAAACTGAAGCAAATATTTCCAGCGAAGTACCAAATAAACAAAATTTATTACCACAAACGTCCACAATTCGGGCAAATTAGAGTCCAGAAGTATCTGTAACAACCAGGATTGTGCCCCAGACGTCACACTTCTGCTCCTAAATTGGACATGCGCATTGTCATAAATGAAAGGGGTACCCATTTGTCCTTGAAAGAGACAACAAAAATTGAAAATTACGTTTAAGGGGATGGATGGTGTAACATGGCGCCGATCAATGCTCCCTGTTCCCGCGTGCAGACTTTTGAAACCCGATAAGGAACAAAGGGTGGTACTTTTCGGGTTTCCTAGGTATTGCGTGATTTGAAATGTAACTTTTGTCTTTCTGGGCGTACGAACATTTTTCAGTGAAGCATTAACAAAGTTTTAAAACTGAATTTTTTGGGGTGTATGACAAATAACGGAGAGGGAAATTTTGTCTCGGCAGATAGGCCTACTGTAAGCAATTCAATCTCACAGGATTTGGGCCGTGCACAGTCCTGCATCTCGATCAATGATCCCAATGCTGGTTCACTCCATCCATTAGGCGAGATTTGGTATCAGCCGTATCAGTGAACCAACGACGGATCACTGATCATGTCCAGATCTGTGTGAAACAAACAACCCCCTCCGCCTCGCCCCCCCCCCAAAAAAAGCGCAAAGCCATTTGCCTCGACACTTCGGTGGTGCCCTTTGTAAGAGCCAATCAGAACATGGCTAACAAAGAGAAGTACCGCCCATTTGTCAAACCTAGTTCAATGTCATAACTCGCCGGGCAGAGAGGTCATCAGTGCACGTCTATGCCTCTCGAGGGACTGAGAGTATGGAGGCATAGACGCGTTCACCAATGATCGAATCATGCCAGCGCACAGGCCTAATATGTACCATAAAATGTAGGATTTTATGACTGAACTGTTATAATTCAACCATTAAGTAATTGCAATACAACAATTAAATGAGCGCTTTTAGTTTTCCTAGAATCAGTTCTGTTTCTGTTCCCATCCAGTAAGGGCGCTGTAAAAAGGGCACTATCAGAGCTGTATACATACATGTATAGAGACAGTAGAGAGCCAGCTTTACATTTTGGAAACGAAATGGCTGTCCGTTATACCAACTTTTCGTGTGCAGGGACTCGCACCTATGGTGACCCTGGAGGGCCATCGCCAATCGTTAATATTGACGGCAATATTCGCGACCAAAGAGCGAGTTGAAATTGTTTTCGCAAAACGACGTGAAAACTGACGATTGGTGATGTCCCTCCAGGGCCAGCATACACACCTGCAGTTTGTTTTCCAAAATAGTGACACTTGCGTCCCAACTCTCTCTATTCGCTGCTCTGGCACAGCGGTTGCACTAAACTAATTACTCGCCGATAGGAAACCGTGCAAAACCACGGGAAAAGCGCCACCTAGTGACCCTAAGGAACAGACTGACTTCGCGTGATTCACTGAAAATCCAAGATTATGGTCACAAGATCAGTTTTCTTTTCCATTTTATAAGGGTTGGCCACAAAGCATGTTTATTCGCCCCCCGAGGTCATTCGGATTCGTGGGCGAGGTCTACCCATATATATGTAGATATCAAAAGAATTTCTTATATTTTTATAAAGAATTTTTTTATATCTGTGGGTTTGCACTATCAGTGCGTCCCCATGCAGACTCGCACGCGTATACTTATTTTCACGAAAGGAATTTTTCTTTAATACAAAACTGACTGGGTTCGTTAGTGTGATATCACTTGCAGTTTAAACCGCGTCCATTGGACTTGGAGCTCCTCATTTCGTCTTTACCAATGTACTGTAGACACGGTACTGCCACCTTTCTTTGTGTGACGATTCTTTTACGGGTTTGAAAAAAATATTTTGAAACTGTTTTAACACAATCGGTTTAAAAAAAACACATTTTGACCCCATCTCGACCCCAAACCTGGATAAACCATTGATAATGTCATAACTTGGACAAAACAATGAAACACTCGTAAAAACTTGGACACCTGTAAAAGCAGGGCGGGGAATTTTGGCTATTTTGGAGCTTAAATGTATTTACAATCCGTATTGTATAAATCAATTTGATAGATTCAGGGATTTGGAGGCACTTACTATGAAAAGTGATATCATAGCATTAAATGGTTTTGTAAAAATCTGTAGAAAAATTAATGCATGTATATCAATGGTGAAAAAGTCACAAGAAACAGTTATTGAATAGAGAATCGATACCATTGGATTGCAATTTAGAGTTGGCCATTGGTATCGATAAAAATGAGATCCTATCACACTGATAAACATCTCAATATAACTTGAATGTAGTGTTAAATTCTACAATATTAGAAGAGAAGAAAGAAACCTAGAAAAATTGGAGTTTCCACCCTAGTTTGGGAATTCTATTAAGTACATGTACAACGACATTTTATCTGAAATGCTAAAATTAACTAGATCTTCATGTAAATCCTGGCTATGACGAAGACAGATTTGTGTATCAAAAGAGCTAAAAGCCTTCCATAACATCAGTCGAAGCTATTAACTATATTAAGCAGACCTTGTCAGAGATTCGACTCGACACAGCTTCGTCTTGACGTATATCGTTGACTCAAAAGCCCAGATGACTCTATGGATAACCTATTCACCATCATCGTTACATTTCAATATGGCCCGTCCAACCACTTGTCCCTTGGCCAGTTTCTCCATGATTTGGACGCCATCTTCAAGTGGATGAACGCTGTACGTCAGGTTGTCATATATGGACTGATGAAGGAAAGGGAAACAGAAATGTTGATTAATTTGACAAGCCTCCCGTAGCTCGATGGCTTATTTTGAGTAGTTCCGGAACTATAGACCGGGAGACAATGAACAACATTGTTGGGGGACGGGGTGACGTTTTGTGGGCAATTAGAATTTAAGTGCCGTCACCTATATGGGTTTGGGCCAAATAAAAATCACCCTCTAATTATTTCACACCCCAAAAGTACCATTTAAGGATTGACCTGCGTTGCCCTTCACCATTCTGCTGATATATACGATGCTTCATAAAATTCTCGATGAAATCACCAAATATCACAGTTAATGTATGAGTCCGAATGTAACAAGGATTTTGTTTTGAAAGGGTCACATTCAGAAAAGAGCACGTGTAAAGCGATTTTTTACTCGTCTGGACCATCATCGATTGAAACCAACCACTAGGGTCCGCAATCTATCTGTTTCAAAATAAGTCCCCAGCATAACTCATTCTTTTAAATAATAAGTAAATTCAAAGATTCACACTCAAATACAGGAATAAGCACTTGACAGGATACTTTTTGGACAAGATCGATAAAGGTGACTAGAAGATTATTTCTGTGAAAAGTGATCGTCCAACCATACAGGAATCTGTCGGTCTGTGTTTATATCCCCATAGGTTTGCGACTCCAGACTGGATGATTGTGATGACTTGTGGTGGCTTGATCAAAGCTCTGTACGCAGAGAGTCCTGAACCTGAGAAACAAGTAAAACTGAGTAATCACCGGCATTTTGACCACGAGTTCCAGCAGTGTCTTGAGTTGAGTGAGCCTGCCCATCAAGATGCCTTTGATGGTGACCCCAGTCAAAACTACATCTGGTAGCGGCATTCGTACCTCACCACCGAGGAGTCCAGTGACGATGTATTGGCCACACTGCACGGGAGAGATACCAGAGAGACAGGTCAATATTTTAACAGCGCATATGCCTAAGACGAAGCTGCGGAAGTCCAATCGTGCCACAAACCAAAAAAAAAAATCAGTGGGAAACTAATTCCTTATTACAGATTAGTTGACCGGGGAGCAACGTACCTAATAGTAGAAAACTGACAAACCATTGCATGAATAAATCAACGATGGAAGGATCCAATTCTGAGATATCGCCCAGCAAAACTGGTGAGTTTCCTCCACTTTCCTCTTTTTTCTTAAATATTTCCTCTAGGGAGCAAGTGTCCCATTGCCATCCCCTCACGACGCACACGTACATATAAATAGAATCGTTCTGGCGCTGTGATTTGATTCTGTTCCTAACACAAATCTAGTGGTAAAGCCGGCCTCAAGAGGGGGGAAGGAGCTCTTAAGTCCTTGACAGAACTCGTGTCAAAGGGCACTGCTCTGTAACCGGAGACAAACCAACAGTACCCCAGCGATTATCTATCAGTGTGGTTCAGATGGTCCATCTCCCACACACTGCTTCCAGCCTCCTCCTAAATCCCTTTAGGTGGGCGAATGGGGAGTGCTTGTATAAAACTGCGAATGTAAACCTGGTTGAAAACACCGTGACTTTCCCGTACAATACTCAAGGTGTTTCAAACATCAAATAAAGCATTTTTCAAGGAAGACCTTTTTTAGATGCTTTGTTTCGTGTTCTCTGTGTACTTGAAACAGCATCATGATCAAGTTGCAAAACTTGGACAATCAAAAGGTTTGTTTCATTACCGTTGCTTGAAAACTTTCGAGAGGTGTGCACAGGACTAAGATTTAGCGGCAACGGACATATTGAATTTTGTTTGCCGATCAGATAATGGCATTAAAATCTATCGCAAATCTTAAGAAATACATTGAAACTGGTACGCCATATTACGACAGAGAATTGAAGATTTTACCATTTGCATGGACAGCTTGCCGATTTCGAACGTTTTTGTTGCACCGACGAAATCTAGTATGACATCCACACCGCGTCCTGAGCGCGAAACCGTCTTGACTTGCCGCGCGATGCTATCACTGGGTTGATCTCGATCCATGAGGAGCGGCACAGTATCGCGGACATTACTGGTAACCACATCTAACGCTTCTTGCTGGAAGATGAAGTAGATGTCCGAAACCGATTCAGGTTGTAGTATTGGAGTCAAAACAAATAAACTGATACGCCAGAAAGTAACTATGGTTGATTGCAATTCTATATCTGGACAGAAACAGTTCACATTTTCTTAGTTGTCATAATAAGCTAAACGGCATTCAACGTGAACTTCTCCCTGACTGATCGACTGTGAAAAACACTCTCTGGAAAGGGCACTGAAGTATGGTGTGCTATTAAGGCCACTCTATGCATGCAGCACGGTGACGTGAGTGTTGTTACACCACGCTGTGTAACAATGCTCACCGCGTTGCGTAATGCGGTCCTAATAGTACACCATACCGTCCACTAGTTACTGTATTCCTATCGCACACTTTTGCAACCATTCTAGATACCAGACCAAGCATGGAAGTATAGTCAGTTGCCGAAGTGCGCGAGCAGAAGCACCCGCTCATCGGTTGAAAAGAGCCGCGTTGGTCGGGAGTATTCATTTTGTTGGTAGCGATGCGACTGCAACATTGCGTTCCCTGGTTGTTTGTGACCCAGCAATGCGCAAAGGAGCCTCCGTTGCAAGGGAAATAGCGCCCTCACTTGGTCCAGCTCGCGGCCCATAGCGAAGAAGGATAGGGACAACTATACATTTTTAATGAGATTGTGTCCAGAAGTATTGGCTGAAGCTGGGAAAAACAAAAAGGGTGCCATTTAGCATTGGTGTAGCAACGTCATTTTGATGAATTGGCTGTGCCAAGGACACTTGTCATCCACCTTTAGTGGCGGTGCTGTTCGAGTCGGACGGTACAAAATAGACAAGAGGTGGAACTCTCTCAACAACTAAATTACTAACATTATTATTTAAGAGCAACAAGAAAACTCGTGAAAAGGGAGGTTATATATGGGAAAACGACGCTTGTTACATAATGGGGGGAGGGGTAAGTACCCCTTTCCTCAATTTATGCTACGCCACTGGTTAGTGGCTGCATGCTCTTCTAAACGACGCCTGCGTTATTGTCAGCCGCAGCCAATACGTTGGGAGGCAACCTTAGAAAGACAAAATTATAACAAAGCAAACCTTGACGTCTGCACATATGATTTGTGTTTCTGGCGGGAAAAGGGCCCTGGCTAAACGAACCCCCCACTGGCCGACCCCACCCACCCCAATCGCCATCACAGAGCAACAACCTGCAGAAGAGAGAAACGAACATTCAAAACTGAATTTTACCAATCTCATCAGGTCTTCTGGTTTAAGAAGATCGTTTGAGAAGACCAGTATTTATTTTTACTGTTCTTTCCCTTTTGTATTTGTAGAGCCACTGACACGCACCTAACAAAACTGTCTTAATCAAGTTTTAACCCGGAAAAAGGCAAAATTTTGACCTTTTTTTCTGACTTTTATAACTGTTACGGAAAGTTTATTCATGTCGAGGGAGGCAGAATGTCACACGTTACAAAATCACCTTTAACCTTAACGGCATATGACCTGCATATGACACGTTACGTGCGTAATTTTTCGCGTGCTGACACTGCATTGATGCAGTCACCTGGGAACGGTCAATCTTGATTGACAACCAATATTCGAAGACGCTGCGGACATCCTCTTCTCGTTTGTGCAGACGTAGCGGCGCAAGATGGAGAACTTTACCGTGAATACACGTAATTAAAACATTGTAATCGTATGGGCGCCATTTCAGCAAGCGATACGCCTGCGCAATGCACATTATTGCGCCGGTGCCGCGGCAGGCATGTACACCTAGGCCGTTTTAAATTTCCAATACTCGACTTGGGCTCCGTCTCAGGCTTCAACTGTTTTTTAACTTCCTGACTTTGAGGTTATAATTGTAAATAGTAAGTCTTATAATGCCACAAAACATCAAGTAAGATGCTAAAGATAGAGCCAAACATTTCAGTATTTCAATTTAAGTTAAACACTTCAGGCCCACAATCGAGGTTTCTTACACGAAGCCTGAGACGGAGACAAAGTTGAGTATTGAAAAACGACCCTAGTGCGCCTGCGCCTGTGTATAACCCCGCAGGCGCCCATAGTGATTACACTTTTTGGGCAGAGTTATCCATCTTTCTCCTTCGGCGCTATAAGATCTTTGGTGCTGACTGCTTATCCTGCACTTCTGTTCTTCCTGATTTGTGCATGTATTAGCTTGTATTCAGCACTGTAAGATGGGTTTCGTTTTATCTAGTCTTCTTGCCAGGTGCTTACAACAGACAGTGGAGGTTCACGCTTTATATATTAAAACTTAGGCATGATGCTGTTGGCAGTAACGCTTACCTTTAACTTTGGTGACGGTTTTAACAAACTCAAGGGCTTCTTCTATGACGTGGAAAGCTGTTAACCCGCTGCAGGGGAGAAGACAGGCCACCGGGAGAGGTATGGATGCCGATAGAGGGACCACATACCGAATGTTAGGTACAGAGACATACTGCGCTAATCTGAGGGGGGGGGGAAATCGAAAAACAAAATACATGTACTTCGAAGGGCCCATTAAGACATTATCAGAGAACCTTGATTAAAGAACAAACTTATCCAACTTCACTCAATCTTCAAGGAAAGCTTCCCAAATCGTCCCAATCTATCACAAAGACAAGTTCTGTTTCGCATCACTTTTGAATACTTTTTTTACTACGCTTATGCACAAGTCTACGACAGCTGCATGCATTTCCAAGAGTCTACATGAGCGGTAAAGGATATTCCGCACAGGAAACTGTCAAAAACAAGTGGTTTCTCATGGGACTGTTAACACAGAGAGGAGACAGATCGCGCGATAGAGCGATGACCTGCTGTGTTTGGAAAAGCTGAGCGATTTTACGAAAGATGCCGCCGTGAGATAACACGGTCTAGCCAATCGGTAGTTTCGTCATGTATGACGTCACTGCATGTTTACCTTGCTTGTAAATCACGAGGTACTTTAAGTAACCAGAGGTTCTGAGGTTATGCATGGAAGCCATCTCTCCAGTAACTGCTTTTGTTACGGAGGAATAGTACAAATAAGCCTTTTGCGAGTTAAATTTGAATAAAATCGAGTACGCTGAGTTCTTTAATTCCATGTGAACATAACAATTGGAATTCTCCATACTAAAGCCACTGTTGCTATACCTCGTGACTCTGGGCAAGCTTTTCCTTAGTTACATAAGAGATGCCTTGCAACAATACACTGTTCTCAATGGAAAAGAAGGGCACAAAGGAACCAGTCCATTCCAGAGATGGTGGTCGCTAAGCAAAAGCTTGCCCCGAACCATGAGGTATAGCAACAGTGTCTTTAGTCTGGGGAATTCAAATTGTTATGCTCATGTGCAATCAAATAACTTCAAATTTAACTTGCAAATGGCTTATTAAGGTCTACTCACGAGCATCGATCACTGTGAAACAAAAGCTCTTTAAAAAACTGGCTGCCACGTACAACCTCTATTATAGTCTGTATCATGCGTTCTTTCTGCCGTGCACTTATACAGCATGGCATAAGGAGGGATTCGTCCCCCAAATGGGTAAAGTCACTGAAACATTGTAGGAATGCTGCATGGATAAATCTGACAGGTATTCACTCATGCGCACCCGCCGTTATATGTTGTCCCATAGAAAACCTGTTGCGTTGGAGGTCCATCACACAGGACGTTGTAATCTGCCTTGCAAAAGCCACATGCATTGCAGAAGATCCAGGGGAAAACAACCACGCGATCTCCCAACTTCAAACCATTCCTGCTGATGTCTGTGACGCCTTCACCCAGGGAGGATAGGACGCCAGCTATTTCATGGCCTGGTATCAAAGGCAAAAAAGAATCCATATTTACTACATGCAATTCCTGATCTAATGAGCTGGGGGCTTCAGTCTCTGATTCACTCCAAACCAGATAAGTCGTATGATATTGTGCTTGTTTGTTTTCCACATGATTGTGAAAGGATGAAAGACTTCAAAGCGGTGTCGATGATATTTCCCTGCTTGTGATAATGCAGTAGAAATTCAACCAAAATAGCATCAATTATAATTATTAAGAAAGAAATATAGACTTTGTTCAAGAAAGGAAAGGTTGGCTTTTACGACCGGCCAAATTAAGGCTATAAGTACAGGTGTACATGTATTGCACAGTTCCAAGTTGATAAGAACTATCTATTGCAGGACCATCTTCAGTGGTAAGTTTAAACTAGTCGAGATGAGAGGTCACACTCTTGTTCAAACGCTATTACCTGAACTGGGGTAACAACATACTGAATTATTTAAAAGCCCATTTTATACACATTTACCTGGGATGCAAGGATAGTTGAAGCCTGGCCGACCCAGAAATGTCACAATTTTGCCGCCACCCATATCGCGTCTCCCTTCCCAGAAGTGTATGTCAGAATGGCACACCCCGCTGTAGGAAATCTTTAGAAAAAAATGTTTACAACAATCGAATGCAACTGGCCCATTTCAAAAGAAGATGCAACAAATTATTTCAAGAAATGCATTAAGATTCAACGTTTAACTGTTTCTTATAATTAACTTAGAAACAACAGATTCCTAATATTCCAACTTATGCCAATATAAGTCACAAACTAATTTATAATTAAGACTTTTGGGAAAAAGAACTTGTTAATTTTACGTTTAACTCATGGCAAAGAAAAGAGACAACAAATCACAAAATACAGTAAGAGTGTTTGAGGAATAAAGCAGATCACTACGTTTTTTGTATCCTTATGTTGTCCTGTTTGGAAGGAATACCTGTCAGCGGACACAACATTTTAACTTAGAAGTTGTTTCTGCTTGTATTTTATCATGCGTTACGTAATGTATACAACTTTCGCGATGAGATCAAGATAGTGATAGAGATGTGTTACGTATTACACTGTTGTGCTCACCATAAATCTGGAAAACAAACCTTGGGCCAGAGCTGTATACAGAGAGAGTATCACCAAGCTTTAGAACCAAAATGGCTGTTCATTATCTGTGCAGCAGCACAGCACGCGGCTACTGCGCGCAATCGACGCATAACCATATGGAACGACAAATGTACCAAAATATGACGTTACTCGATGAACGTAAATTGATCGTGTCCTCAATCTATTATGTGATGTTGTCAATTAAATGTGTAATGTTGTCACACAATTATGTGATGTTGTCGCAACTCTCTCTGTCTTTAAGCAGCTCGAACACATGTATATTATATACATGTATGACTGCAGCTAGTTTCGGCCATATCACTGTGAATATCACGCCTGATAGACGGAGAACCTATGAGTATGACTATGCTGCAATTATGGAGGTAGGAGCGAAACCAGACAATACCAGTCCTCAAAAATGCCAGGGTTCGGTGGCGTACGTATATTACTAGGGTACATTTTGCGGGGGTCACCGGGGGTTCATTCTCTTCAGGGGGCACTAAGTGGGTTCGGTCACAGTTATATACACTGCCGTTAGCAGATATTTGGAGAGAGGGCACAAGGGACAACAGGCCACGAGCGGGTGTGGGAGACCCCACCAGTTATACCAAATTTCACTTCTTATAGCTCAATGAATCAACACTTATAGCTCCATGGTCCAATCATGAAGCTCCTTGGTCCCGAACTTTGATCCTTTGCTCAGCGGGGCGCTCTACGCATGTGTAAACATAACTTGTGACCTGGTCTGGCAGCAAGCATGGCACAAGTAAACCTACCGACTAATGCAAAAATATATTTAAACGGTCACCTGAGGTTACTATCATAACTAGCACCACCCGAAACCTGTACGCAAATTGCGAGGGCATTCGTCCGACGCTTGTACAATCCGTTGTTCGTCGCGTCCCATAATGGCCGGATGAGATAACTATTCGCCCTTTACTTTTTGCACTGCACGATAACTGCAGAAATCGGCTTGCTATCTGGCAAGTCATGCAACGTCTGCGCAGTGCATGCAAAGCAAGAGCGATTTTGACCCTGCCTGGCCTAAATTGCCGGGATCAATTCACGGACGGCTGATGACGAACGCCCTGACCATAACGCAAGTGGTAAAACCCCAATTTTTTGAGTGAATTTCTGCGATGCGAATCGACTTTTTTTTTAAATTAAGCAATGATTCGGATCCAGAATGGCGTTGGTTCAACTCCGCAGTCCTCGCACAGTAGTGAAGAAGATTCAGTTCGATTCCATGCGGCAAAGTTGCACCGTGTCACCTTCATCACCCCATTCACTGCATGGAGAATATGTTTTCAGTAAGAGCCGGTCACACTGGGGTTCGAGGGAGCGCGGCATGACAAGGATTTCATAGTTCGTGGGAATATAGCGTGACGACGAACACAATAAGACTAGTTCTACGAGTACCCGGGGCATAAAGGAACTATTCATCCATGCAAAGAGAAACCGCCTCTGGAGTTAAAAAAAAAAAAAACCGCGTGATTATTTGATCACAGAGCAATGGACAGTTGTCGTACTTGTGTCAGCATTATAAATTCGTATTCACCATACCTTTACAACGGCTCCGCCATCTGGGGCCTTTGGGATTGGCTCATCTTCGAGGAAGACCAGGGGCTCCCCGGGGGCGATCACGCGGATGCACTTCATGGTCGGATTTCCAAACAGAGTGAGAAAATACGTCAGTAGAGCCTCTGTATGTCAAAAGTCCGATCTGCCCGGGGTTTCCTCACCTGAGGTTCAAAAGTCGTTGTTATGTAAAGTTATCTAATGCCCACCGAATATGGAAAACCGTCAAGGGACGCCTGTCGTAAAGGCCTGGCTAAAAACTGCTGGGGCACGGGGGGGTATAGAAACCTAAGCCCCTGGGGTCACTCATACTGAATTCGGAGAATTGAGGACTGTTGGGGTTAAACCACAGAGATTGAGACTATCGTGATCTATCTGTGATTGGCGATCAATGACTCTGAATGAAACTGTACGGTCCAGTCTACTGACAGTCACCCGCTGTGGTACCACTCTGTATAAGGCCGAGTAAATAAACGTGTATTTGGTACCTGCTAGACTAGACTTGGTGCTAACTGATTCAGTTTTGTTCTCCACTTACGGGCCGCACGGTAGGGGTGTACATGTACATAATCATATACACACACATTTTCGCGGTCCAAGTCGAAAAACGACAAGTTATATGTTACTTTCATATTCTAGAGTCGCACCGACAAAACACAGGCTAACGACTAATTGTCATCAAGACTACGTCCCGACCTGCTTCCTCTCACTCTCCTTAAGTTCCCCGCGGGAGTTGTTCTTCGACCAAGTGGGCAAGGCGAGGCCCCGCAAGTTGGGTGCGACCTGAATGATTCAAGCCGTGGCCAAAAACGGTTAAAACAACCAAATTTCAAAAAGTATTAACTAGCTTTAGACGTAGATAACTGAACGCCGAAACAATTTTTCGGAGAGATTTCAGGGGCATCTCTCATATTTTATTTCATGCAAAATAACAAAGATAAATAAGGAGCAAATCGGGAAAAATATCATTAGATCAACTGATACATTGTATACTTGCCAAGTGTAGGCCCGGGCAGAGGAATACACATCTATCGATGAACAAAATAATCCGACGTAAAATCATCAACAACTCCAGCATGAATGCAAGTGACCCAAGCCCCAATAAAGCAGCACGTACTATGGCAGACTCGGACCTCTCTACCCTGCTGCAGGGTGCACCTGACGGGAAAGAAATGCTTTGAGCGTCTGGGTGTACGGTGGAACGTGTCCGCCAGCCAGGTTTCGCAACAGTTTTTTTTTACCAACAGTCGTTTGATTTGTTCTGCATCATGTACGCTTATAACTTGGGGGTTGTAAACTTGTTACTTTGGGCACAGTCAAATAATGGACCCAGAAAGGTCATTCACCATCTTAACAAAATGCACTTCTGTAAAATAGGGTATGTTTTGCATTGGAAAACAGGACGAGAAACTAATTTTTTCACTCCGTCCAAAATGTCCGTAGTTCACCATGCAAATATAATTCATGGGGTCAAGGTCTAATTGGACTGGACATTTTAAGGGGCATTTCCTCTTCGATGAACAAAATAACCAGACGTAAAATCATCAACAACTCCAGCATGAATGCAAGTGACCCAAGCCCCAATAAAGCAGCACGTACTCGGACCTCGGACCTCTCTACCCTGCTGCAGGGTGCACCTGACGGGAAAGAAACGCTTTGAGCGTCTGGGTGTACGGTGGAACGTGTCCGCCAGCCAGGTTTCGCAACAGTTTTTTTTTTTACCAACAGTCGTTTGATTTGTTCTGCATCATGTACGCTTATAACTTGGGGGTTGTAAACTTGTTACTTTGGGCACAGTCAAATAATGGACCCAGAAAGGTCATTCACCATCTTAACAAAATGCACTTCTGTAAAATAGGGTATGTTTTGCATTGGAAAAAAGGACGAACAAGGGTTTTAGTGTGTTTTCCCTGTAGACCCAGTGAACCGTCCAGTTAGCCATCAACGACTTTTTTTATGTCTGAATGCATGCCAGTAAATACGCCGAAAACCGCTTGCGCGGGCAAAATCACATTTGTATGCACACACATGTTTACGTTACATACCTACTGTGGACATTCCTTTGTTTTCGTGAAGTTAGGAAAAGTCAGTGACAATACTCATTTTTCTTCATCTAGGAACACGATTTTCAGCTGGCTTTTTGTAAAAGGTTTCCTTGACTATTCCTCTTCCTTTTACCACAGATGACCCCTACCCCAAAATGCCTCTAAACTCCTTTTCCAGAGAGGAGGAAACCTTGTGTGGACATGTGCAAGTCCGAGTCCACACAACGCCATCGTACCCTGCATTATGTGGACTTCTTTTGTGCAGAGGTCCACACTATGATGTAGGCCTATGCCACGCCTGTACTGAAATTCTCTACGAAACAGGGCATTTTGTTGCGCGGCCCATGAACTTGAAGATTTGTAGAAAAGACAGGCGGACAAAGAGAATACCAGCTTACTTCTGAGTGAGATTTAGAAGAAATCAGTGCCTGAAAACGGTCTATTTCTCGAGAGGTGTAGGCATTGATATTTCAAATTGGCGAGGGGCTTCACGACTGCATTTTAGGGATGACCTTCCGTGGAAATAAATATCTTCAAAAGTCGGTTATTAGTGAACAAAAATTTGCGAAGAAAATGATAAATCATAAACTGGGCTCTAATTCTGATGTGCGTCTCGAACAGTTGAGAAATTCGGGAGTATTTTGTCCAGATTTTATGAAATTTGGGCAGTTATCACCGTTGGCTGTGACAGTTTATTTACTAGCCTGTAGGGTGCAGTCCACTAATTCAAGTGAGAATTTCTGGCCAGCTCATTAACATTAAAAGTGCCCCCCCACAGAGTATCTTTTGGAAAAGGAGACTTTATGGCCCCAAAAATGGTGAGATTGTGTAAATCGGTGCCGGAATCAAGTCCCTGGGTCTTTGGGCTTTCATCTGAGAGCAGAATGGCTAAAAAATACGGTTGAAAAAATGGTCCTTAGTGTTCGAGAAAGTTGAGGGTTGTTACTTGAAAAATGGCTGCAAGCAGACTTCGGAAAAACCACTTTTTGGCTGTAATTTTGTTTTGTGGGAATAACTCAAAATGTCATCGGCTAACCCACAGAAAATTAAAAAGAAAGTGAAAGATTAGGAACCATAAAATAATTTAACGTGTGTTTCAGATAACCTACCTAAGAGATGTTGGTACGCATGTTATTGGGCCCCGAACAATGCTGATTTTACACTGTTTTCAATGGGGCTTGAATTAGTGGACTACACCAAAGGACGTATATATATATATAAACCTGTACTTGCAACGTATGAAAAAACGTATGAAAACGTATGAAAAAGAAGCCAACCAGCGGCCATTTTACCGAGCCGAATACAAAAGCGTGGGTTGGATCCCTTCTATTGACGTCAGGAAAAACAAAGGCGGCCATTGCCAGGAAAGCTTTGTATTCGGCTAGGTAAAATGGCCGCGAGTGGATCAATGACTCTATATAAGCTGATTAATTAAGGGCATTGCGAGTCCGGGCTTTATTATACACGTCCGTGACTACACCCGACAACCGTCTGTGGGCGAGACGATGTCGTTGGCGCCCTCTCGTGATTGCAAAGGCTTCTCGCTAAACCTCGTTTTTTTCGTGTGTTTCTCGTGAACGGCCTCTTTCCCATGGTTTAGTGCTGGCATAAGGCGCAAGGCACCATGAAGGTGATAATTTGTGATTATTTCTGTACTAAAGGTGTTCGAAATATCGCAAAATATTCACAGGGGATGATATTTGAATGTATGACCTAAGTGTTCAGCCAGATGTTTAGTGGGATTTTTCGGTTTGTTTCTGAGGATGATGTGGATGATACGAGAGAGTCATGGTGTTTTCAGTGCAGTTTGCAGCAAAGGCCTTAATTGAACGTTCTGAATAGTCGACTTAGTTAAATCCCTCAGTTGGTTAGTTTTATATTTGGTTAGAATTTGCTCTGCTGTCAATATTAATTTGGGTTTGAATCGTTAGGGAAATGTTTTTCATATTACAAGGCCTGTCAATCAGTTTCTAAGCTAGACTAGACATAGACCCGTACGTAAACAGGGCCCGACGAATACTCCTCTGTCGTATACTGGGCCCTGTCCCAATTCATAGCCTATAGGGATTTCTTTAGAAAGGTTTTATGCGGGAGGCATAACTAAACGTCCGCTTGATTTTATGAGCTGAAATTGCACCGATATGTAACTACCATGACTACCTATGGTGTAAACCATCCGCTAGGTTGCTAATTGTAGAAAACTCGCCTTTTCCTCGTTTGGAGGAAAAAATGTTGCCTTTTTTTGCCGTTTTCCCACTCCGTAAGAATTTTGTCCTGACTTGTACATAACACAGACTCCTTTGTATGGTTAAGTATTACTAATGGTACCCTGTACAAAAGCCAGTCTAGAAGTTTGCACCCAGACTTCACCTACGAATCTTGTTTAGATCTGCGAGAGTACCTGTCGATCTAAGTACTCATAAAAAATTATGGCTGTTTTGTGTCGCAGCTAATACACAATGCCCTTGGCTGGTTCCCTGTCCAGTCACGCACTTTTTGCAGCAAATCATTGGTATAGTGCGGCTCGCTCTCTGTGACATGACACGGAAACAGCCGTCAGTTTTGTGCAAGTGGGGCAAATTTCATCTGGAGTGGGAGAAAAAAGGCAACATTTTTCCCCTCCAACAAGGAAATGGCGAGTTTTCTGCAATTAACAACCTAGCGGATAGTTTACACCGTAAGTAGTCATGGTAGTGAACATACCGCTGCAATTTCAGCTCGTAGAATAAAGTAGATGTTAAGTTTGCTGCAAAACGGCATTCATGAGCAAGGTTTAATCTGGGCTACCAAGCTGAAACACTGGGCAACCACTTTTCATGAAAGCAGTTGACCAGGGGCAACCGTGTTTGGGGAGATTTGTCAAACACTGTCTTCCTCTGGTCCTGCAGTTACATCGTCATTGTGTATTCATCGAATTCATGTTCGTGTAGACAGTGAAGTGATGTCACTGTATATCAGTCAAAACAGATTTCTTAAATTCCCTCCAATGATTGCATTTTCTAAGTGTTTTTGTGAAGGTGGGGATTGTGTAACAGTTTCTCCATGTGGGTACATTTTTCTTCTTGATTAATGCTTCAAATCCCCTTTGTCTGACTAGATCAACGTCAGTTACCCAGCCACTGGCTGTCAGAAGTTAATTGAGGTGGATGATGAGTTCAAGATGAGGGCCTTCTACGAGAAGCGGATGGCCCAGGAGTGCTCTGCAGAGAGCTTAGGGGATGAATGGAAGGTAAGGATACATCCCCCCCCCTTCCCAGGGGCTCAGGGATGATGTATTGGCTCCTATGTTCAACACATGCTGGCGGATTGAGACTGCAGTGGAACTGTTGTGGGGTGCAGTTTACACTTTGTTACCACTTGCGTTTCACAGTTTTTGACAGTAAGAGGCCATGTAGACCAACTCTCACATCAACAATTATCCACTGCAAAATGGCAGCCTGTTTGGTATTTGGTTAAATTTCATTGTATCTTGCTGGCAGCAACTTTCACAATACTCATGGTCAATAACATTTCATACAATTATTTTCATGTGGACGGTCCCCACCATATTAATAAAAATAAGGTAGCTACTGGTGACCGGTGATGCAACCATATACCAGGGTCTGGTTCCAAATAGCTAACCAGATGGTCCAAACTGTCAATTATTTGGGCAACATTGGTTGAATTGCGCTGAACTGTAATCATTACTTGAACTTGCTCCATATTGACTGTCTTGTGTGTAAAATTCACACAGAAACATACTATCACAAGAAAATGATGGACTTTTTTTTTAGGGGTACATCGTGCGCATCAGTGGAGGCAATGACAAGCAAGGCTTCCCCATGAAACAGGGCGTCCTGACCAATGGCCGTGCACGCTTGCTGCTGTCCAAGGGGCATTCCTGCTACCGGCCACGCCGCAAGGGTGAGCGTAGGCGCAAGTCGGTCCGAGGATGCATTGTGGACAGCAACCTCTCCGTTCTCAACTTGGTCATCGTCAAGAAGGGTGAGACATGATTTTAGCATCATCTCTCTCGTCCTTTTGTCTCGGATGCACGCTCAGTCCCGGAAATTCCTCTATCTACCTTTACATATAAACAGTGGATATAGCCTCAATCCTCCCAAATCCTCCTTTATTTCTTGAATGTGTTCCTTGGAGAGATGACCACGGCCTCAGGTCTTCAAGAGCCTTCAGCAATTGTTTTCAATATGTTAAGGCAGAGTGATATCTAGGAGCAGTGTGGATGATGTCAAGCGTAGTCTGAGCCAAAACTGTAAGCATGGCTGAGGGTTGAAGGAACACGAGTCCAGGCCCAAGACTTGACACAGTCCATGCTTCTGAATCAGTCACATGTTTCTTGACATGTAGCCTCAATTTTCCCAACCTTCACTCATGCAATGCAGATTTGTGAAGATTTGGGGAGGTTAGGATAAACCTTCATTCTGTTATAGGCTTTTCAAACACTGAACAATGCAAAGCCCTAGGCCGTTTTCCATTACTCAACTTCGTCTCCGTCTTAGGCTTCGTGTAGGAAGCCAATCCTCGATTGTGGGCCTGAAGCGTTTAACGTAAATTGAAATACTGTAATGTTTGGTTCTTTTGCATCGTACCTGATGTTTTGTGGCACTATCAGACTTACTATTGCGCTTATAACCTCAAAGCCAGGAAGTAAAAAAAACAGTTGAAGTCTGAGATGGAGCCCAAGTCAAGTATTGGAAAACAGCCCTAGTGTCTAGTTTCGGTGTCTCAGTCCACAATCATAAGGACTGTAAGAATGTGACCCGACAGTCATTATAGCCATTACTGTGCTCTTTGCACTGCTTGAAGATATGATACGTGTGCAGTACAGAGTACCATTCAAAATGAGGGGTGGGTGATACTTTGGTGTGGGGAATAACAGCTTTAACCCTGACCTGGTACATTGTCCATTGTCCACGTTTACTAGTGGTATGCCCTGAATGCTCTGTCCAGCAGCAGGTCCCATTGAACCAGCAGCTGCATGGTGAATAGACTGTATGTGTGGTATGCACTAATCCTCACAACGGTGCAGTAGCAGCAGTCCTCCGTAGGGAAGGGGTTGAAAAGACATGAGCAAATAAATATATATGATAATCTGCCAAGCAGTGTGCTTAACGAACATAGGTGCTGGTCCACACAGCAGTAGAAAGGTAGTGTGGGAAAAGTGTTATTTGTGAAATGACTTGTCAGCTGTCGAGGATTAACATTTGCCTCAGACTTTGTGTGCTTCCACTTCAAGGTCTACTGTGTCCAGATCCAGTGTTGGGCATTAGAAAAAAATTCTTTCTGTTGTCTTTTCTGCCTACACCTAGGTGACAATGACATCCCAGGCCTGACAGATAAAACCATCCCCCGCCGACTGGGCCCCAAGAGAGCAGGCAAGATCCGCAAACTCTTCAACTTGTCCAAGGAAGATGACGTCCGTCAGTACGTTGTTAAGCGGCTCCTCCCGGAGAAAGCAGACAAGAAAGGTCAGATGGCTACTATTGAGTAGGCCATATAAAAGTGACACCCAAGTCGTGTTTCGTCATCAAACTCCACAGACATTTTGGTTTGGTGTTAATCCTTTATCCTGTAAAATCCAGTGAGGCAGTAGACTAAAGACAATTGGTGCGCTAAGTTGGGACATCTGACATGTTAAAAAAACAATGATTCTTAACATTCTTGAAATTGAGATAATGAAGAAAGGCAATATAGTTCTGGCCTAAGTGCACATTGGACACAGTGACGAGGCATTTTTACATCAAGGTTAAAAAAAACCACATTCACGGATGAGAGAGTTTGAAATGCTGGTAGCAGCAGACAAACCCGTCACTTTTATCTAGTTACGGGCACATGCGTACTTCTGAGCATGTTAACAAATGGTAAGTACAAAGATAAATGACCATTATGTCTGCTGCCACCATTGTCTCAAAAGTGTCCAGTTGTGGTGGAATTAGCCCAGAGTCTTATTAAGTAGTTGAAGCTTTGAAGGGACAGGTAAGACATACTGCAATAAGTGGAAAGGTTTGCGGTAGCACCATGCGAAGGAATCTCTCTCTCTTATGAGTACATGTACGTGTGGTATATTGCTGTCTTTCACCATGAATAGCCTGAAATTCCAGAAGACATACTGGTTTCCTCACTTTTAATGCCCGGTTCATACTTGCCATGAAAGCAAAGATGACTGCAGAATTTGTGATGTCAGATCAAGTATTTATGTTGCCGAATTGGCAAAAGTTGAATGCATGTCAAGTCAAAGCAAATTTTGTAACTTGTGTTACTTTCCTTTTGCATTTATAACTGAAATTAAATCCCAAAGAATCTGACAGATAGGACATGGTTAGGGTTCAGGCTGGTTCAATTTCAGTTATAAATGCAAAAGAAAAGTATAAGGCATGGTTAGGGTTCAGGCTGGTTCAAAGTGCACACACTCGTAAGGGATTGGTGTTCTTTGCTGCTGGTTGTAGAGCCTGTGTTCATTTTTGTTTTCAATGCATATTTGTCGTTTCCTATCCTACAGACCAGAAGCCCCGCTACAAGGCCCCTAAGATCCAGCGTCTCATCACACCCCAGCGCCTTCAACGCAAGCGCCACAACCTGGCCCTGAAGCGCCGCCGGGCCGCCAAGAACAAGGAGCAGGCAGCCGAGTACGCCAAGCTCCTGGCCCAGCGCCAGAAGGAGAAGAGGGAGGCCCATCTCAAGCGCAAGCGCTCAGCCTCCATGCGAGAGTCCCACAGAGAATCCACCAGCAAGTAGAAAAAAATCGGAAAGACGCAGGTGTCTCTAGCGAGCAAGGGGTTCTTGTGGCTGGGTTGTAGTTGGATTGGGACAGGATGGCTTGCAACGTCAGCAGCTGAACTTGAACAGCAAAGCTTAAAAATGTTTAACTTAATGTTAAACAATATTACTGAATTTTTGAAGCGCTTTTCAAGTTAAGCTGAATAATTGCCAGTGGCATAATGGGTAGATCAATTTGTCCAGGAAGAAGCACGCTTTTAAGTTGGTTAAAAAAAAAAACTCCAACATGACATTTGAGATTAATCCACTGGACTACCAAGGAAATAAAACACCACAAAGAAGAAGCCAATAAGGTGTCAAATAGAGCTGTTTATTACTTCTGCACTGTTTTATGCATGTACGTGCCATGGAAACATTAGTCAACATAGTCCCCAGAAGTTTAGCTTGTCCACCAGCCGTCACCACATGAAGCGAGGGTTGCATAGCAGTGAGGACTAATGGCTTAAAAAAATTGCCCATATTGTTGGGAAAAAGAAGTGATGTCCTTACAATGGAAGCAAGGTGCCGTAGTTGCAAAACACACACAGGAAAACCATCTGCTTGGAAGGGGGGGAAAAAAAAAATCACATGTGCATGAAGACCCAATTTGGGAACCACATTTATACTGTTAACAGACATTACATGTACCAAGGCATATGCATCTGTGTAATGTGTGAACCAAGCCAGATCCTGGTGATTTAAAGGTTGCAATGGGCAATAACACACATTTAAACATCTTTTTTTTATGAGAAGCTGACAAGTACACCATTATTTTATGGACATAAAAACTAATTTCTACTCATGACAGGTTAACCATAACCTAAATTACTCGTGAATGTTTGAGTCTAAATCATTACATGTACTACATAACTATTTGTACTCGCAACAGGTCTTGACTACAAAGCTCTATGGCTTGGGTCTTCTTGGCTGACCGGCACTTGCTGAAGTACACAAATATGATGCATGCCATGAAACAAAAACTGGCAAAAATCCTTAGAAATGCAGACGTCACTTCTGCAACTTCTCAGTTTGGAATATTTGCCACCGACATCAATTCCTATCTCTCTTGTATCTGTGAAAGTACGACCACTGCTGTAAGCCAACTGCACTGTGCTGAGCTGGCTCGTCCAGTTTCCAGCAATTGTCACTCAAAACTGAAACAACACTTTTTACAATGACCTACAGTACCTAGAATTGAGTTAATCAGCCAAAACACTCTTTACGGGCGTGATGCCAAATGTGACATAAAGAAATTGAGGCAAGCATGGGTACACCAGAAATCAAAAGGGTGGTTGACCCGACGAATGGGTGAGAGAATTAGCATCTATTAACCCCGGTTAATATGTCAACATCAACTGTCAAAAAGTAAATTTGCAATTATAATTCTTGACACGGAACATATTTGCCAAAGAGAGCGCTATATTCTACCCAATCCTGGGTTTTAGTTCTTGAAAGATGAGAATTACTCGAGTCGCCTTTTAATTAACTATTAAATTCGTAACATAACCCAGTATCTTAAAGAATAACACGTGTGCCTGACGAAAAAGGTCTTGACCATAAAATTTTGATATCAAGAGGAAAAAAAATGAACTCATTTTTTCTTCAGTTACCAAGGTCATAAGTGAAAATACATGTACATATATATTAAGCTTGTGTGATTAGGTAGGTATAACATATTCAATGCACTGTTCAACACAACTACTGAACGCTATTGGTTTGAAAAAAAAAAAACAAACTAATAATTCTCTCCACTTGCTTCACTGGCCTATCTGCTCTGTGACCGTCCCCTCTGGGTGGCACTTTGCCAGTTTAAAATCAAGGATGTTGTTTTGAAGAGAAGTACTTTACGCCAAGGTCAACATTCATGGTGGTCCCAATAAGTAAGTTCTGACTTGCGCTTGTTGCAAAGCCCGCACACAGTGCTCACATGCATGAGCTGAGGCCTCCATTCAACGTAAAGCATTATTTGCACAGAGCAGATGACCGCACAACCTTCCAGAAGACAACTGGCAAAGCCAGATTTTAAGAGTACCTGGCCTTTGATCTCGGTTGAAGATTTCCAAGAGAAAAGTCTGCACTTTGATATCACCTATTCCGAATCTGAAGTATTTTTACCACTCTGAGAAGCTTGTTTTCCTATGGTACCAGACTCTGGGATTTCTACCCCAATTCAATTATTTGAACTGTAAGGTTTTCAAGTACTCTGTACAGTACTTGGCAAGGCCTATCCAATTGTCAACTTGAACCATTTGCTGTGATTCCATTCCTTAAATTTTGGTCAAGTTCTGACAAGTTACTACCCTGAAGAATCCCAGGAGTGCATATTTCAATAGTCGACCAACTGTGACAAGTTGATCCCTGGTACCAGCTTGGAGAATTTCGTTGACCCTGGACGACTGTGGGAGTAACATTTGACCAAAGTTTGAGGACAGCTACCTTGTATCTGTTCATACCCACAGCTGTAAAGTGCATCCCGAACAACTGCTGGTTGACCACAAGTCCTTAAATGTACTTACTCTTCTGAGTTGCCCTGGCCTTGTGTGTTTTCACTGCAGATGCCTACGTTCTGCATGACCATTGTGTGAACTAGGGTTTTTTTTTTTCCAGTTTGAACGTCCTAACAAGTAAATGGGGCAATAAGCTAACTCCCCATGTCTGAACGACAAGCAAAAAATGCCCCACTGGTACAACAAGGACATCTGAGGACATTTTGTTTTTCTCAAACGTTTGATGAAAACCAATGAGAGCCGGGTTACCAAAACTCAGCATGGCCCATTTTCCTGAAGCTGTCCGATTTTGAATGTGCCAATTCAAACGAATTTTACTGCATCGTCTTCCAAACCCTAACCACGGCCCATGAGGGAACCTGCAAAGGATGCCCCGACAGTTGAAACATCAACCTAATCTGCTTGATCGTACTAGCAGTGACGTTTCCTTGTCCCTGTCCCTCTGGTTCCTCTCTTTTCCCCGTTTCCCTTTTTTTTTTTTGATGTCTTTGTGGTTGTTCTTGGAGAACCTTCTTTCTGCATCTTCGCTGTTGATCTTCGGTGGTGGTTGCTGTTTTGGTTTCTTTTAGCGTTGTTGTGTCGTCTTCTTCTTCGTCTTCATCTTTGTTTTTTTTTCGCCTTTCAGCAGACTTTCGGGGGAGGAAGTCTCAACTCCCTCGCTTGCTTCGAGCACATATTAGCGTGTCGCAGCAACAGCGCCCCCACTAGTAGCCAAAGCCGTGCTGGTAGTTGCGATCCCCCTGATAGGTGGAGTCTTGGGAGAGGGCTGCGTCCATCTGGGATTTGAACTCCTCCCCCAAGTAGCTGTCCTATTGTCACACAAGCAATGCTCGCAGGTTATTAACCCACACCAACAACTTTCCCTATGTGTCCATTGATTTCCTCGTATCTACAGTCATTTGCAAAAGTTTAAGACCACCTGGAATTTTATTGGCATTTCTGTCACTGGGCCTGCATTACATTGTCTCATTGAATGATTACTTAACATGATTTTACAGTGGCGCATAACATCAGTGTAGTGCTCTATACCCATTTGAGTGAATTTTTTTGCAAAGGCAGGTCTTGTGTGACATTTTGTAAGGCAGCATGGGTAAATTAAAAAACAAGTCTAAGTAATCAGAAATAAAGGAGGGCACACTAAACATTACACTGTTTAACATTTCAAATCATGGAAATGTAGTCAGATAGCTGTGTAACCAAGATACTAAGGTTACACATTGAAAATAAACCTAATTTGTCATGATTAATTGGTTCAAGTTTGTTTTTTCTTCAGGTTAATGCATCTTGTATGGGTGGTCCTAAACTTTTGCAAATGACTGTACTTCTTACATCTATTTTTACAAACTGAAAGATGCTGTAATAAATCTCATGCAGCTTGAATATCCTTTTTTTTATACTTCTAGTTCCATGTCTGTTACTGATACCAGATGATAGATTTTGAAATTGGCATTCCTCTGAAGACTCAAAATCTTACGGATAATTTTTGTCGACAGTATACTGTGTTCCTTTCCCATTAGTGACAAACCTCAGTAATCCTCACAGTTAGCTTGTCAAAGTACTGTAGAATTGCATCAACACAGCTACTGTCAACTACTGTCCAACTACATGATACACAAAATGGACATGAGAGGCAAAAGAATCCGAGACAAACTAAACTCAACATGTGCATGGGGCTGTCTATGGGGCACGGGTAACTTGCAAATGATGATGGCTCCATGAGCACCATGTCTACAACACATAACGGACACTTCACTGGTCGCATTGTTTGCACTAGTAAATCAAGAGAATTGTCACAAACCTGCGAGAGCTCGGGCTGGGACAGGCCCGGCTGAGACAGGCCGGGCTGAGAGAAGCCAGCTTGAGACAGGCCCGGCTGACTCATGGACATACCCTGGGTGAGTGGTCCCTGGGAAAACGCCATGGTGCCTTCCTGCATGGTGAGAGAGAGGGAGCATGATGAACTCACTGATTACCAGAAGGAAGTCATCGATTTGAATCTATCACTTATTTTCCGGAGGTCAAAGGTTTGAATCCTACTCCTGTCAATTTCTTCATTGATATATGATTGCTGAATCCCGCACCATCCCCTTGGCCTACAGCCTTGATGACCAGCGTCCATGACAGTCGTAACAGAATACATCAGGAAGCATGCTATATTCAGTTTGTTTAAAGTTGAATAAACTCTCAAACACACGGGGTGAACAACATGAAATCTGTTTCCAAGAATCCCTGGCACCGGTACACAAAAAGCTGCACGTAAATATCGGTAGTGCATTCCCTTTTCATAAACAAACTGAGAACGGCAGGTTACCCAGAGTCTGGCTACTTATGTTTGAAGGTAGCAACCTCACATGATGTGTAATTAGGGGTGAACCGGGTGATATTTTCATGTTACAGACGGGAGCGGGTAACAACTATTTGATGGGGAGGTGGGCAGTTTTTTTGGCCTGGGTTACGAAACACAATTTTTATTAGTTTCCTGGGGGACTTTGGTCTTGGGGAATTTTTGGGGGGCAGGGGAATCAAGTGAAAGATTTCTTTTGTGCAACACTGTCCTAAATACCATAGCACTTTTGGCAGCAATCGCTTGTGTTCAGGTAATACGAGAGCCGCCACACAAAATTTCTATATTGGGTACGGGGACCGCAAACGCCCATTGTTCATCTCTCTTGCAGCACCGGACACAAACGGCTCGATGCGGTGAGGGAAAACTGCAGCGCTGTTCTCCTGTACACGCATGAATTACAGAAGCCCCTTTCAAAATTGAATGGACTGGCTGATTGACAAGATGCCTTCAAAAAAGCTTGTGCAAAATAGACAGATAACAATAGATTTGCACTCAGCCGGTGGGCAAAAAATGTTTGTCTTAACAGTAATCTCGTAACATCCGAGCTTGTATTATTATTGTCATAGGAATGTGCACAATTCAGTTGGGACTGGCAAATATGCTCGTCTAAACCAGAGTCTCATCTTACCCAAGCTCGTATTACCAAGAGTCGACTCAATAATTCTGTAAAAATGGCACTTTAATGTTATGTTCTTAGGAAAACAGTGCACATACCTGGCTCTGCATAGACAGGTTGTACTGCGACATATTCTGACTGGCCCCACCCTGAGTGGCTCCACCCACTCCTGGCTGGGGACCCCTCCCATGCACCCCTTGTTGCTGCTGGCCCGGCGTCTTCCCCCTCCTCTTGGAGTAGGGTGGTGCCCCTTTGCCCCTCTGCTGGGGCACCTGCTGGCCCCCCATGGGAGATGGGCCGCCACCCCTCATCCCCTGGTTGAAGAAGTGAGCGCCAGGCTGTGGGGGTGGGGGCATGAACATGTTGACCGGCATGGGAAGGTTGGCTCCCCCAAACTGGGCGGAGCCCTGCTGGATGTAACCCATCTGGTCGTGGATGCGACCCGGTCCAGGGACGTAGCGACTGGAATCTGGTGAAACAAATGTCAATCATATACATTAGATCAATCAACGTTCCCTCATGACACTGACTATGGTATTGAAATACTTATAGAAAAGTTAAGGCTTGTCAAACCAAGAAAGTTAGGTTTTAAACATGTGTCAAAAGGCTTAACCACTTCACGCGGGTGCACCCGGTACCAGAGACCTTAGGCTTGTGCGCATAGCCAGGGTGCCAGAAATCGGACAAGGGAGCTAGGCCTTGTAACAAAAGATCATACTCGGAACAAAAGACTGGGCTGCTGGGAATTGCTAACAGTTTTTCAGTTTACAAGGTGGCAGGCCTGGCTCAAATACTCAGGCATCAATAGATGTTGCCTATCAGATTAGAGGAGCCACCAGACAGTCATTTGTGTGGGTTATAAAAGTCCAGTAAATGAAGTTATGAATTTTTGAAGAATTTTGAAAACAGAAAATCTTGAAAATCCCTGCGGGAACTCATCATGCAGCAATTTAGACCCGGCAGCATACGGTTAAAAATAAAACTTTTCAATATCTCTAGAAGTATACTTGACTCCGTCTCAAGACAATTCACAAGTTAAAAGTAACAAGGACTGACCAATGACAAAGGACGGCCTTTGCCGAACTTGCTCAGAGTGGGCTTGCACAGGCTGAACTTGACCTGAGACTGGATGACTTATGATCGATCTACGAACAACTTGTAAGGATTACGGTCGTTACACAATAGTGCGCCTCCAAGAGTTTGCAATGCATTGGCCAATCACAATGCGCGAAATCTGCCGACGCATTTGGAAACGGTCATCAAATTTCGAGCGTTGTGATTGGCCAACACGTTGCAAACTCTTGGAGGCGCACTATTGTGATTCGCCCGTATTGACTACAGTGACACATAATCTCACCCCCGTTCATCATCCCTGATCGGTCGTATATGCTGCCTGGTATCATGGCCTCCTTGGCACTGAACATGGCCGTTGTCATGAAGCGACCGCCCTGGTAAAAATCACAACATTTCAACAACCTCAAAAAACAGGTGGCTACTGCGTGTACATCTGGATCAGATAATGCACTGTCCCTCTTAGTCCAACTGCATTGCTTAAGTACATATTCTCACAAACTGAAGATGAAATTTCAGAGGTCTTTCAGACTTGCAGTTTCGCAAACTTATGTGGCATGTGTAATGACAGCAGCAATACAGATAGAGTGTGAAATGATCCCGATGCATAAGAATGCTTGAGCAACTCAAACCTATAAACCAGAGAAATGGAACATGCTGGCAACGTGGAACCTCAACAGGCTAGTACCCCAATGCCGTGATGGTTATCTTGTCCAAGAATCAAGGAGTGACTACAAAGGTTTCTAGACGCCACTCTCCAACTGCTGTGCATAACCTCATAGCAAAATCTCAAACTGTGCAAGAACGCCAAATTTTAAAATGCAACGACTGTGGTGGCATCAGCCTTTTCTCCTGGAATGTGAGAAGCTTAAAGGAGTTATTCCAGAGCTCTTACCGGGTTGGCAGTGTTGACCAGCTTCCTGGGCTTGCTGAATTGGATCAGGCTCTCCTTGAGGTTGTTCAGTGGCCCCTCCACCAGCACCTTCTGCTCCTTGTAGTAGGTCAGGAGGTGGTTCCACAGAGGGTGACGGGATAGGACCTTGGGATTGCCCACGATGATTACACCGAACCTAGTGGAACAAGGAAGAGCCCACAGTCAGCAACAAATGTGGTTACTCCTGCTTACGTTGGCCATGTCTGAATCAACTGGCTACGACTGCAAGTGATGCAGCCGTCTGTGGAAAGTGGCTGCAGCTTCCTAGCTAGTGACTTTCAAGGGCACGTGTATTATTTCTAACCACAGCTTTCACCTAAGCAGTGACAATCAGAGCTTTGTAAAATCTTTTACACAAGTCAATGATTCCCATACTTGATACTCAAAAATTCAAAGCTTCATTTTACTAAGTGCAACAAAATTTTCTTTCCACCATGAGAGAACTGTAAGAGTTTTGATAAAATGCGACAAAACATTTCCCCAAAATGCTTATTCCATGACTATTTCTTTTGAGTTTCAAATCCAGCCTCAATAAATTCCTACTAACTTTCTTTTTCCCTTCATGAAGACAGAACATGACTTCTTTACCTGCAACGGGTCAGAGCCACATTCAGACGGCGTGGATCATTCAGGAACCCAATGCCTTGGTGGTCATTGGCCCGGACGCAGGACAGGATGACGTAGTCCTTCTCTCGCCCTTGGAAGGCGTCCACGCTGGCGATCTCCACCTCCTGGTAAAGCTTGACATTGAGCGGGCCACTGTACTGCATGTACTGGACAATGAAGGCCCGCTGGCCCTCATACGGGGTGATGATGCCGATCTGCTCGGGTTTGACGCCGGCACGGAGGAAGGAGGTGGTGATCTTCTCCACGTTGGACGCCTCCGTCCTGAGGACAAAATGGAAAAAATGTAAACTTAACTGCCATTAAAATTGACAAATTGCACAATGCAAAGAGTACAATTACTGATCAAAGCAAACAAATATTCACAATGAATACGATTCTTCTTTATGATAAAAGAGGACCAAAGGAAATCAGGGGGCCGAAGTTGTAAGTTACGATGACCTAGTAAGTCCTAGTAAGTCATCGTTACTTACGACGAATTACCATGGGAATTTCTTGAAATCGATTTTAGGAATCATCTTAAGTTGCGATGGATAACCCATCGCAACTTAAGATACGATCGATCGTAGCCTTTGGTGAAATCGGCCCCAGCATCAGTTATCAGGAACAGGTCCATTCACACTAAAACTTCAGTCATTCAACACGCAAGCACATTTGGCACGACACAATGACCTACGCTTGGGCAGTTATACGCTACATGAATATGAAATCCACCATAAACTGTGAAGCATTCCAAGGGTCCTTTACCTGTTGAGAAAGGAGGTTCCTGAGCTCGATATTTCCTCTTGCCCAGAGGTAGCATAGAAGAACATGGGCTTATCAGGTTGGGGCCAGGGAAACTCAACAGCCTTGGCGATACGGTCCGCTAACAGAATTCGAAACAGAGAAGAACAGCTTGATCAAAAACCTATCAGTGAAAATCAACGGCTGGTTTTTGGTCTACCCCTAACCCTCCAAGTTCTTGTGACCATCGCGGGACTTGTGTATGGTCCCTGAACATGTCAGCATGGCTGTAGAGTGCTTCCAAACCACTGCTACCTTCAGATAAATACATACACCCATACAACTTCTCTCTGTGAGGAAGATGTTTTTGTCTTATTCTCTTTGCTTTTCCTTCTTTGATAAATTTCATTCTCAGCAATTTTTCTTGATTTTTTTACTTGCGTTCTTCAGTCACTGCTAAATTTGAACTGGAAATTTCTGTTCTTTGTGACAAACTGATGCAACTGCTTAGAGTGCAGTTTTACCGAGACCTGTCTTAGCAACTTAGCAACAGTTCAAGGAAATTTGACAGAAACAACATATTTGTCTTTTAAAACAGGATGTATAAAACAAAACTTCTTGTGAGTGGAACCCTCACCTGCTGACACTCCGTTCTGAAGCGATCCTTCATAGAAGATATTTGACGGGAATGCGCTCAGGGATGGGTGCATGCGGTATTGGACCTGCAGCCTGATTGGTCGGATGCCCAGAACCACCAGCCGCTCAAACAGCGACTGCGACAGGCCGGCATTGGCTGCCTTCTTGCACATGACCACAGGACCCAGCTGGCAATGGTCACCGACAAGGATCACCTGCAGGACACCACATCTTTCTTACTCTCCTGCCCATTGATTCGGCGTATCCCAAACCAACCATAGAGTTTGTATAATGACCGCAACACTGCCACATGCTTCCGAAATACTTGAAATCCAAATGAAGTAAAATGTATCTTGGAAACAGCAGCCCATTAGCAATTTTAACTGTGATGGATTCAACACATCAAAAAGCCATCGTAAATAGCACATTTTATCTCTGAAGCAGGTAAGTTTTTAAAATTGTTGACCAGTTAATTCTGCAGGCGTAGATACTACTGGTTTAAAACAACCAAATCTCATCACTGAAGGAAACTTAAAAATTAATTAAATTATCAGATCAAATTGGAATCTGAAGAGTAAAAACTTATTAATTCTGAAAATAAACAAACTGAATTTTAACCTTAACTGACTAGATCCTACAAATTCACCATAACATTTTAGGAGAATTAAGTTTTTATTCAGGATTGGGAAAGGTTGAATCCAACCACTATTTCTTCACATGGGGCTTGGTGTTCTTCAAAGAACAAACAATATGCCACTGGTTTCTTGCAAAGTGAAAATGTCAAGGAAGAATCAAGAAAGTTCCAGGCAAGAATGCCAATGGAATTAGGATCAAAGATGTAACTTGCCAACGGGCTACACTCCCCCCCATAGGCCACGCTTCATGCACGACACAACTAAATATGTTTCATCAAGCCCACACCTGTTTGCATCCGAGGACAACAGGTATGAGACACTCTGGTTCGGTGGCCTGAGTGCTCTCGTCAATCAGCACTGCCCTGAAACGGAAGCGAGCTAGGCGCGGATCACCTGCACCGACGCACGTGCAGCAAATCACGTCAGCGTTCTGTTTAAGTGGGAAATAATAAAGGGTGACCGTGTATTAAATCTAGTTCAGAGAATAAAAGTCAAGCATCAGATAATGTCCCTCTTTGTCACAGGTAGAGGGGGTAGTGGCGTATGGAGTCAGTAGCTCTGTATACAACGGACAAAGCCATTCACTAGAAACATCACAAACTGCAAAGAAGGATGGGAGGGAAGTACAGGAACTATTTTCCCTCGTCCCTTAAACTAAATTTGAAAACAAAGTTATTTTTTTGTTAATCCAAGGACATTGTTTATCAGTGCCACTTCTGCGCACCTTTTGAGTTAAGATCAGAGTTTACTCTCTGTTTAGGAAGTGTGAAGTGGGTTTCTACTCTGCATTAATATTACATTGAAGAAATGAAGGCAGTGTTGGAAAGTATCTACCTGTAACAATTCCCTCTCAGAGTTCCTCTTGAGTGTGCGGTAGCGTTTCTCGTCGGCACTGGACAACTCTCCAATCTCATCCTTCAGGGCCTGCAGTTTTGTCTGCTCCTCACTTCCTTCCATGTTGCGCACCTGTCAAGGCAACAAGAGGGACAATTCTCAATTTACTCAGTCTGTTTCAAAAAATGCTCCAATATTTGAACTTGCACATGCTAAAATCAAAGCAAATTATTTACGAGAAAAGTGAAGTAGGTCCACTGTGTAATAATTTCTAAATGAATTCAATGGTGGATTCATGGCATTTTATAGGTACCCCCCCCTCGTGAGAAGCCTCTATGTATCTTTGAATATTTGCATGAAGAATCAATTGTAAATAGTCACATTGCTTCTGTCACTAGTTTGCTTCATGGTCAGCAGTTGTAAAGTGCAAAAAGTAGAAATAGCAGTTGAGGGCAGGCCAATATACACAAATCATCTATTTGGAAAGTCTGACAGAAATTCCAAGCCTTCGAAGGATAAGTTGTTTGATAAGAATGAGGCATGAGATAAGTTCTGTCAAAACCAAACACTTCTGGGCAGCACTTGCAATGGAAATTCAACCAGAAGCGTGTGTATTCATCTGTGTCAACTCAACCTTCTAAGTGGCATAATATCACCAAAGACAGTCCCTTTATCTATAAAGGGGAAAATCTACATTTTCATAATGTTCAAAGCTTACTTTTGACCGGATGCCCAGAGAGAGAGACAGAGAGAGAGGGGGAGAGAGACAGAGGTGTCTGCATTTCTCACCTGTTTGTGGAGGGTGAGGAATGAGACAGGGGAATCGATGGCCTCTCGGCTCTTGGCACTAAGCCTGACCACCTTCAGCCCCGTCTTGTGAATCTTCTCCGTCAGCTGGTCTACGGCGATGTTGCTGGGGGCACACACCAAGACTTGTCTGATGGAAGGAAAAGTCATGAAAGGGCATGGCTTAAAGGGAAAGAAGCACTGATTGAATGATCAGGAGTTTCAGATGACTAAACTGAAGACCCAAATTGACCAAGGACCTCTGTGAATGATTCGAGTCAAGTCAGCAAATGAATCGCCCCCAGCAAAAAAAAAAGCAACTTAAGCACTGAGCAACCATCTGTTATTTGCATGCGTAAGCACGCGGTCGCAGAACCCTCCCTCGTAACTATAGCACACCATTGTACATTTGAGGGTTGTTTTTAACAAAGGATCTCATCTTGACAAGAATGAAACTTGCATTGTTTTCCTTGTGCAGGTGTTCTGAACCTGAGGCATAATCAAGCTGTCCTTTACCAGTTAACCACTTGCTGCCTGGGAGTCCTGTTTCAGGCACGTATTCTTTATACACATAGCGAGGGTCTCTGAAATCGGACAAAGGGAACTGGGCCTTGTGAAAAAGACCTTGCTCATAACAAAAGACCAGGCTGCTGAGAATTACCAACTTTTCATTCTCAATAGTGGAGATAATCCAGCCTTGTTTTGAAACAGTATACTGCGGCTTGGGGCATTCAGAGCGAGCAGATTACCACCGGGGACAAAAGCACTCTACCACCGCAGCGATGAGCCACACAGCACCGCTGCATGTTAATCTGGCCCCTATTGAAAAGAGGTCAGCAGCATACTAAGCCAGGTTCGTGAACAAAAGAAAGTTATATAACACTGCACATCTGGGTTCTTTTTACAAGGCAGCAGGCCTGGTTGAAACACTCCAGTGTCAATAGACGTTGTCTGTCAGATTAGAGTAGAAACCAGACAGTCCTTCATGTGGGGGTAAGTGTCCAGTAAATGAAGATAGGAATTTTTAAAGAGTTTTGAAAACAGAAAAAAAATAAAAATTATCCCGTCCCGGTATCATCAACATTCATAAATGCCCCCGGGGCGATGTGGTTAAGAGTCGAATAAATTGAAAAGTAAACCCCCCCCTATTAAAAAAACATACCCCAGCCCTTGCTTTGCAAGATGGTACACGATGCTTGCTGAAGTCACTGTCTTTCCAGTACCAGGTGGGCCCTGAAAGACAGAATGAAAATTGATATCTGAGGTGGGAAAATAAGCTAAACACAGGAATCCTGCAAGCCCTCTACATCAGCTTTACAGGTCGCCACACTGTTACAGGTCCCCACACTGTTACAGGTCGCCACACTGTTCATCGCAGAAGGGGTGACAATGGGTAAGTAGAAGACACCAAGGGTAGCGAAATAGTGTACACAAATTTGCTAAGCAAGGGAATTATATGCTTAGAAAACTTCCCTTGGTCATCAGTCCAACTGCCAGGGATGGTGCCTTACTTGAGACCGATTTCTCCACTCACTTTCGCTCAGCACAAAAACCTTGCTAGGCAGTATTTTCTTCTCAGCAACTTAACAGCACTGGGGCCAGACAAGCATACCTGGATGAGGCTGAGAGGGCGGGTCAGCACCGTGCGGACGGCCGACACCTGCGAGTGGTTCAGCTCAGGCAGGTTGGGTGCCGAGAAGCGCTTGGGCAGGCTGCTCTTGATGACCATGTTCTCCACCTCGTGGCCCAACAGCTTGTGGTAGAGGTAGCTGGACACGGCTGTCTCGTCCACGGCGAGGGTCTTCAGGGCACTCTGCATCCTGAGATGGAACATTACCGGGAACACACTAATACATGCTGCTGAATGTCTCATGTTGGATCTCAGTGAATAAGTCTAGATGGAAGTTATGGAGATAAAAGCGTCTACTCTACACAATCTGTTTGTACTTTGGAACTTAATGCCTACCAGAAGACTATCGCAATGATCTGCTGTAAGGCTGTCTACCAGGCAAGGTAAATGCTCAATAGACTTGATGATATAAAAAAATAATGCAGAACAGTGAAAGTGTCAATAGACAACAGAGAGTGGTCAAACCACAGACGATAATATGAATACCGTTTGTTTCAACTGATACTGTTAACAGCAAAAACAGGTGAACAGAACAGTCATCAGCAATATTATTCGTTGCAGCCACTCGGTTCACTGCATATAAGCTTCCAGCTGCCCGAGCTACAGTCGATGAGACTGTTTCATCAAAATTTCTTGTGCGGCACCATACCTGTCAAAAGACGTGGATTTCCAGACAAAGTCAACCACAAAGTTGGTGATGCAGTTGACTGGGACCTTGGCATTACTCTTCAACTCGATGCAGATCTCGTCTCCATAATCTGGGATGCTTGGGCTAAGGATCAACAGATGAGCCAGCCATGTAAGTGCGTGCACTGGGATTCTTACGTGTTGAAATGCCTCATTTGAACTTTCTGGTTCAAATCAGAAACTCCTCGATAAAAATTACAGAATAGAGTTTACAGGTATTACCGCGGACGTTTTGAACGACAATGTATACAACGATTGACAACAGAGGTTAGATGGAACATTACTCATTCAAGGATACTGTCCGGTATCTTGACTACATGTCCAACTCCTGACCAAGGTTCTTGCAAGTCGCCAAGGTAACGTACCCTCAGCTCATCTCCCTGCATCAGCTTCAGATCTGTTCAAAGGCAGAAATATATCACATCTTACAAACCATCTACAGAGACACCAGTGCTTGCAGCTTGCTTCAAGCAGAGCATGGTAAATTCGCATGTTTTGCCTTCTTGCACCAATAGCCAAGGACGTTGTGTAATATGCATGACCACAATTCCTTTGCAAACTGCATTAGTAAGGAAAATTGTAACTAAACTCAAATTCATTCACATCGGGCATAGTACACATACCCTTAGATCAGGTAATCATGCCAACTGTGTTCGTGAAGGTATTTCCATTTTACTTCTGAACTGTGAGACCTTGCGACTCTTAGCTGCCTAAATGCACGCCGAAGTTTAAAATGCGCAATTTCTTTCATTGAGCTATTTTTTTCCAACAGTTTTTTTTGCCGAGGCAGGGGAATGCACAAGCGTGGTATTGCCCACCTTCTTTCTTGGGAAAATTGAAGAATGCCCTTGTCTTGCGATTCAGTCCGATATCCCAACGCACAGAGATGTTGCTCTGGTTCTGATTCTCCTTGGTCCGACGGTCATAATCGGCCTCCATCTTAACCAGGGGGCCAAAGATGTTCTGATAGGTGTAGGCATCCTCATAACTGACACACAAAGTGAGACAAAATTCGCACATCAACAACATTCTCACTCTCCAAAAAATCCTTCTTGAAACTACTGCAAACAAACCAAACACCTGCAGTGCTGTTTTCGGAAAAGCTCCACGAATTGTGCTGTCTTCCACTGACCAATTCTGTGACACATGCCCTCCATGCAACTGCACTGATAAATCTTAAGCTTCAGATTAAGTAGCCACAATTTCATGCATTATGGACCAAGTCGCACTACATACCGCAGCATAACTGACGCCGGCTCTTCGTCGGCACCAGGCTTCTCCAGGTCCTCCAACGTGGCCTCTGAGTTGTTCTTCCACAGCTCCTCCAGCCGGTTGATCTGGGCGGCCGAGATCTGCCTGGCCCGCAGCTGCTCCTGCTCCGAGGGCACCTTGACCAACCAGCCTAGGAAGCAGCGGTCCTGGATCAGGGGCTGCCACTGGGACGGATCCCTGCAAGGTTGAACACGAAACAGGGGAGACAACTTGGGAATTTGGACAGTCATTCTCAATGAGCTTAACATGCACAGAAGAGGTCCCATTGACGGAAGCATGTTGCTCACATGTAAGAATGCTCAGAAAGCTTCACTGATGATAACTGTGCATATGAACCCTAGTGAATTGTAGAAATTGAAAACCATCAAATGAGATCTTTTCTTACTTCCTCCATTTTTAGGTCCATTTCATACACAACTGAACAGAACAGAACTGGCTGTCATAATCCGCATGAGGGTAGACATTTTTATCCACAGTTGTCACGATAAACCTCAAGAAGTCCATCTAATGTGAACATTCCCTTACTAAGAGAAAAACGAATGGGGAACAATGCATACAATGCATGCAACCCAATTTCTTGGCAAAATACCTACCTCATGTGGCCCAAAATAAGGCCATGACTGCCTAACCGAAGACAAAATGTCAGCCCAAGTGGATGTGTTCCACAAATGAGAGACAGATGATTCCACTCACCAATTCATGTCCTTCAAGTTGCTCTGGGTGGCGCAGGGCTGACGGCACAGCAGCACGACCACCGAGTCCACCTTGGCCGGAATGAAACCCAGCAGGAACACATTGCGGCAGCCGCAGTTGTAGCACTCCAGGGCCGTCTCTCCCACGGGGCTGTCCCGATGGAGGGTCACCTCCTTGCACTTGGCACGCACCAGGTGGTTGACAATGTGACTGGGGAAGTGGGGGGAAGGGGACGTGAGAAAAATACCCAAGACAATGAGGAGGAGCTCTAACACTTGAGGAGTACTTCTACATGTCATTAAATTAACCCTACTATGCTGAAGTCACTCTTTGGGTCAATTAGTCAGCTGCACAAACGTGCAAATGCCTGGTAATATAGCTACATTGTCCCCGTACTTAACTGAAACAGAAGGCTATATCCACGCTCACTCTAAATTCAATTCAGAGAATATGCTTTCGGTTTCATTCGGAAAAACCACATACAGTGCTACAGAATGTCTGACTGCCCAATGTTTCCTATACCACAGTGTGCCGTATCTTCAAGCAAACATAACGCGCAGTAAAGATGTTAAAGGGGCCTTTGTTATAGAGCTACATATAAAAACATATACAGCTCTATGGCCTATGTCATGTATGTGCACAAACGAGCTACCTTTGAATTAGGAGTAAATTTTGCAGTTTTGCTTTTAGCATAGAAACAGGGCACTGCATGGAGTGGATCGTGCAACACTGTTATATGTCATACTGTTTGTTGCCATGGATAACCAATCAGAATTGAGAATTCAAGTTTGCTGGAAGATAAAAAAGGAAATCAAGTCACCTTCCAGAGGTGTTTCCCCGCCCATTGCAGAACCACTTCTTGGTGGTGTTGCACAACACCACAGCGGCTGGGTCGTGAATTCCACAATACCTGAAAACAATTATGGAATAAAACTTCAGAAGTAGACAAGATCACAGAGGAATTTTCATGACACAAGAGCTTTTTCAGCTTCCAGCCAAAAAAAAAAGATGATACAGATAATCAATGGCACATTATTCTGACTTTGACAAAATTGGGATACTGATTCAAATTCAGCACAAACGAAGTTGAGACTTCCATGCTGGATGGCCACAGTTTTCAAATGTCTTACATGTGAATGCAAACAAGTTTACTCGACTTTTCAAATCTGTTCTCCCAGGGACTGAACTCCCTTTCCTCCAGAATTTACAAGGAAGTAAAGGTTGGATTTCAGGGGACTGAAGCGGGTACAGCAGAGGTACCTGCAGGCATGGTCAGGGAGATCCTTGGTGTAGTACGTCTCCTCCTCGTCCTCCTCAAATGTCAATTCCTTTAGAGTCTGCACGGTGGAGGCTACGCCATCTTCGACAAAACCATTCTGCTGGGCTGGTTTGGTATCCAAAGACAGGCCGGCCTGGACAGTAGGGTGAGTTCAGAATAGACCCTTTTCACACTGCCTTCTCTTTGTACGTATATGTATGAACAGCCAGAACTACAATGTACATGTATTGCAGAAATTGCACAAACATCACCCTTGGTTGTTGGTTGGTGTCATGAGGTTTAAAGCATAAGTTATCCCTATAACTAAAAGAGGGGAGTTTTTTCATTTAGTTTGTATTTGTAATGTTTACTACTGCCAGGTATTTTGATAGCCTCATGAGATACCGATTTTTTAATACTTAGCGAGCGATTCTTGTTTTTTACGGTACTGATGGCCAACCATAGATTGTGAGCCACTCAGAGGCAAAACCAAGACTACGACTGTACAGCAGACACGTTTCTGTGAAAATCAGAAGCATTCCTGCTCATAAAGCAAATTGATGTAAATAAATGCCTTCATCTATCCCACACAAGGTCCCAACTATTAAAACAAAAATCTGGTCATAAAAAAGTACAGAAATTATGCAGGAAAATTTGGCTATTTCTATATCATTTACATGTGGCAATATGTCACACTTCACCAAATTTTTAATTTCAAAGAATTTTTATTAATAGTAATCTGATTATCAATATCCAAGAGACTGAAATTCAAGTTGGATTTACATGTACATGTAATTTCCTTGCATAATATTTTACTATTACTTGACAATGTAAAGCACTGTGAAACTCACACAATGTAACACTGTACTATGACTGGCAGTTTTGTTTCCAACTCAATGGATGTAACAATACTTAGACATGTTCAACTCAGTATTTGGACAACAGTAAAAATTTGGGGCATGATCCACAATGGGTGTGGACTTTGCTGTGCTATCATCGAACACTGTCGCACCTGTTACCACTTTCACCCCGCACCCTCTGCTGCCCCCCTGCCTCTATATGGGTTTGGTCATTTTTTTTTGTACCCTAGGGCATGACGATAGGATTTTTAGCCCTTCCCCCCCAAAAAATGTTTCCACATGGGCAAACTGTATCCATAGAAAGATTGCCTAAGGGGTGGGGATTATTTCGTCACTTCAACAGTGATGATACCTGCATCAGTCTGGGACATGGGCAGGTGAAAAAAAATACATTTTTAATTATGTAGTAAACTCCGACTAAGTTGGCATTGCGTAACTCGTCATATCGTCTAGGTCGGCCTTTTGACAAAAGTCCCGACCATCTGTAGTGCATTTCCATTGAAAATCTCATTTCTAAGTTTGCATCTATAAGTCGTCATTTCGTATATATGTCGGCATGTTTTTCTCAGTCCCTTTTCCACAGAACCACAAAAATTCCTTTGTGTAAGTCGGCATTAAAAAAACAAATGCTTTGGTATCAGTTTCCTTCACTGCAGTTGCCAAGAAGTGTCACATGACAAGTCCCAAACTGACGTCTGTTTATTAGCAGCACAGGACATGGTTGATAATTGCCCAGCAGGAGTACATCAATACCAGTTACCCCTCCAGTGCTACACACATGCGCTCTGTCCATTCTGAGGGTCGCCTTATTGAACCTAGTCTGGTTCCCAGCCCAAAGATTCCCTGACAACCCTTGATAATGATTTGTCGAGTGGTCAGAATTGTATACCCAGCAAGAAATGAGACCGAGGGGTACCCCCCAACATGTCCAATCCCTATACACATTTCAGACTATTGTTACTTAACACATCCCCCAAGATGTCTGAAAGGAATTCCCCACCAACACAAAGTGGGGGGGTTCTCTCCGTCTCATACCTTGCTGCTTATGTAGATTTGAACAAACTTAACCAATGTGCGTGTGTGGATGAGTGTATGTTTTCTGTACCATAACTGTATCACGTACATACATACTGCACTGTCGTGATGTGATATGCAAGTGGCTTGCCGTCCTTGCTCGACCCTTTGAGGCACATGATCAGTTATCGAATTTGCAGCCCACAAGGATAATAATCGAGAACAAATTTGCTGGGATCGACCATGGAGGTAGAAATAAACCAGGGTAAATCAAAACCATTGAATTAGTGCGAGGAATCGTAATGTACATAGGCAATACATGTGCACGCTTAAGTCAGCAAAATGACGACTTACAGCACAAGTCAGCATTCACGTAAGTCTTGAGTCCTGAGAGTGCCAACTTAGCCGGAGTTTACCATATGTATCAAGGCATCATATCAACTTCACTTGATGGTTCAGGGTTATGAAGGAATAAGGCAATTAGGCCTACATACCTGTATTGTACGCTAAGGTAAGTCCCAGCTTCCTATAAAGTTAATATTAACATCAATCGTGATAGTGGTCAGGAGGCTGAGTGATAAAACACGCATGCAAATTTCTGCAAAATACATTATCCTGACATCAAACATTTCAAACACTGAAACACCATGATTACATTGCCATGTCGTGATTTTCATGACTGCATGGAAAGAGTATAGATATATAGATATCACTTGAAACCCTAGCCCTGTGCACAAACTCTATGAGCCTAGTCTGAAAAATTGAGTGTTTTCGAAGTAAATGATTCAATATTTTCACTGCTACATTTGACGTTTTGGGGCATGTTCTCACTTTTTGATCATGTCGTGGAGTGTTAGTAGGCTATAACAATCCCATCCAAATCAAAAAATAGGAATAGGCATAGGCCTACATGTACTAACGCTTCACTCAATAGAGTTAAGTACGACAGAAATTCTAGGATGTCTGACCATGAGAACTTCTGTCTCTACAAAAACAATGTGGCTATTGTTACAGCAGCTGTAACGCATCTCCCATTTTCTATCGTTACATCACTGCAACTCGCAAGTGCGTCAACTTAAGCACAGATTTTGAACTTTATTTCTCTTTAAAAAAATCCTCCGATAAGAAAAGGCCTATATAGTCGACTCTCAGTAATACGAGCTCAGGTAAGACGAGACTCCGGTTAAGACGAGTATATTTGCCGGTCCTGACTGAATTATGCACATTCCTATGAGGAAAAAAAATCCATAATATGAGCTCCGTTTATGACACTCTTTGTCTAGAGTGCAATTACCTGACTCTGGCTTTGTGAGACCACATCCAGCTGTGATGCTTGGCTCTGTGTCTGAGTTTGGGATGGCAAGGTGAAGTCCCCCACATTGTACTCGAAGTCCGTGCCCTGTGTGTCAGCGCCTAATAACTCGCCGTCTTCCGTGTCCAGGAAAGTTAAACTCTGAGAGCTCGGCCCGTACGCATCTACACTCATTCTTCACTTTGACTCTCTCCTCCAGCACTCAATTAAAGAAGTACACCACAGTGGGTGACCGATCTCTTCGACAAGAGACAAACTACACACAATTATTCTACAAACTTGTTAACCTGGAACTGGAAGTTCCATTAGAACATGCACGGCATGCAAGCGCGCGACATCGCGAATGTGGCAAAGTGTGGGGCTTTTTGATGACGTATTATATTCTGCACAAAAATCGATGATGTCATCAGTGATACGCATGGAACCAACGGGATGCATTCTCAGCAAGCTAGACCTCTTTTTTGTCATAAGAACTCCACTTTGTTGAATTCAGCTTCAAGCTTTCTCTTTAATAATTAACTCATCACATTAGTATTTTCCTCCGTTGAGAGAAATTTGTCTTTAAGGCTAGTTTCGTAACTTCCTTACATTGTTGACGAGAAAATGACGATTGAGGGCGCTATAATCAGACACCATGCTACACACTAGCACTGCAGGCGGTGTTAATATGTTACACATGTTGCCGATTTCTCATCGAGGATATCCCCGTATCTTGTGCTCGGTAGTTCATAGTACCGTGTAAGTATTTTCGTCAATACGTGGGGCAGTGGTATAAGCAGAGACCCAGTATATTGTATTTAAGGTTTAGACGCAACCAACTGACCAGAAACTTAGAAGTTTAAAGAAAGTTAGATTGTTGGAATTCATCATCATATTCATGGCGTGGTCATCGGTCATTGTCAGTCTGGCAGGCATGCGTGGTGTCTGTCATTGGTGGGCTAAAATTCAATGCGACTATGTAGTCTGTCTAGTCTGTTGGCCCACCCGCGTGACCGTGGTGACCATGGTGACTTGTGTAGTTCGGCCATGAGAATGAAAGTTTTAGATTTGCGTCCAGAACATTTTTGAAAAACATGAGGCTTTTTCATTATTCATTAGGCCTAGGCCTATTTTTCGTATAGGCCTACATGTGTAGGCAGCTCTGCCGGCAGTGGGGCGATGTGGGGATGGGGTGGGATGGGACAAGGTAGAGATGGGGGCGAAGTGATTAGGGGCAAAGCGGAAAGGGGACGAAGTGTACACCTCTGATATGTATTGTTGATCTTAATGTAATGTGGCCCCTGACGTGATGCAGTTTGATATTTTGGGTCTCTAGTGCCTTCCAGAGCAATAGTTTTACTTATAGATACATGTACATGTAAATTTCAGTATAAGTATAAATTGCATCAAACTTTACATATTCTGATTCAAAATCTTGACTTTACTCACTGACTACAGAGTACTGATGAAATTTTATTTTGGCCTAGTTTTTCATTTTTTTCTGAAGTGCAAAATGAACTCTTAAATTAAAATGCAAGCAAAAATACAAAAATAATTTTCAAACTACTGTAACTTGTGGTTCAAAAGTGGAGGTAATAATAGTTTATTAGAATTTGTCAACTTTAAAAACTTGTTAAATATTAATGTGGGATTTACTGAGATTTTTGCAAGTGCGTCATGTTGGGGAAAAACTCAACAGAATCCTTGCCCAATTTCCGGACAGTGCCATTTTTTAATTTGGGAAGAAGTTTGCATGTGTTACGAAGGTTATAGTTGCAGTTATTAATGAAATGATTTTGAAGTTTTTTCAACCAGAGGGTTGACACCTCTGTCTTTGGAAAGTCATGTGACAGTCCAAATGTGCCATGTTAAGGGACTCTACTGTACATTTAAGTTACCCAAACACGGCACAGCCCCTAATGTGGTGCACTTTGATTTCTTTTGAGCCTCACAAGAGCAATATTTTACCCAGAGTTTGACAATAAATGAAATTTCATCAAGCTGTCAACATTCCCATTCATAAATCCTGAATTTACGTACCCGCTACAGTGTTCCAATGAAATTGTATTTTCACCCGATTTTCCAGTTTTTTTCGAAGGGCGCAATGATAATGGGCCCAAAAATAACCACTGTACAAACTTGTGGTTGGGCATTTGAGTGGAATTATCATAATTCATCAACACTATAGAAACTGTAAAAACTTAATGTGGGCTTTTCTGAGATATATTAAAGTGTCCCACATTGGGGAACACTCAGCTGAATTTTAACCCAATTTCAAGCTTGAGCCCAAGGTTCAACAGCATGCATTATGAAAGTAATATCACCAGTCGTGCCAGTTGTCCCCCTAACCACAAGTTTGCTTCATCACAATTGTTTGCACATCAGTCAGTCCCTGATGTCAGTCAGTCCCTAAGGAGACTGCTTTCTTTTTGTCAGGTACGGGGGATGTCCTGCGTGTATTTGTCAGAGTTTGCAGTGTGGAGTTTAGAAAGGGCATAGAGCATCCCATGAGAAAAAAATGCTAATGGAGTCACTGAGAAGGATGAGCCTAGGGGTGTGATTTCCCCAGATTTTTTCTCGATTTCATGCTTGGTTGACCCTAAAATCATATTTTGCTATGTTTTTGCAATTTGGACCGAATAAGTCTAAACTTCACATATCATAGCCATCCAAGAGAGAATGCAATTCTCAACTGTTGAAAGCCCTGAAAAATAAGAGTATCTTGTCATTACAAATATTGCTTGTGTACATGTTTTCAACTTCAAGGTTTGCCTGCTGTCTCAATGCATCGGAATACTGCTACGAGCGCGAACCATGATCAGTGGTCGACCCCTCCATTTGATTCAAGGGTGCTGCCAGCTTATCAAAGACTGCTAACACCAGCTTCATGTAGTTTAAATCTGTACCCTTACCAGACACCACCTCCACAGAATGGAGTGTCTCATCCAGGACTCTTCCTGATTGACAAGGGAAGAAAGTGAGTACCAGAAAACTTGGTTAAGGGTAATTCCAGAAATTAGGGGTCCATTTTTTTGTGTCCCTGTTACATCTGACATATGATTTTGTAAGTTCAGAACACATTTTCTAATTTCCAAGAGTGATGAATTAATGCAAATTACCTGGCAAACAAATAGTGATAGTTTGAAAACAATTTCGGTGATATTTCCATGTCAAATAACAAATGTCAGCTGTAACAGGGACATGAAAACGTCACACTTTTGGACCCCATATTTCTGGAATTGTTGCATACACATTGTTATTGACTTATCAGCCAACTGGTAGACCACACGTTGTATTGTGCTATGGTACAATAGCTAACATTTATGCAGTGCACAAGATTCTGTTAAAAGATTCCGCAAAATTCAGTGACACTTGATGGTTCTTTCAGTAATCCTTCGTATTTCTTATTTACTTGGTACTGTGTTTCTTGCAGGCTGGGATTAATGATAAAAAACATATAAAAGGTGAAAATGACACACCATGCCCTTTGTGCTTACACACTGTCCTCACTTTCAATGTGGGCTGTCTTAATGTGCATTTCACTGTCCATGTGATTTGGACTTTATTTACTAGCAGTAAAAGTTGTACACGTATGGCTCTTGTCCAGGAACACCAGGAACCCATTGCATGATTTGTATGGATATTTGTGTGTATGTGTGTGTTAACACAGGACCATAAAGATTACAGGTCGCAGTCCGGTTACCCTAAACCAGCAAAACCAAGGCGGGCAGGTTCAGCCAAGTGTAGTACGCCCGACCACAGCTCCCAGCACGTCAGTCCGGACAGCACGTCTGGGCCCTAGGCCCCCAGAGACACCAGGTGCATACAACTTACTTGTGCAAGTGCTGGGGGATGAAAGCAAAGTACAGCTGCCAAAGAGAGGTCCAGCAACAGCAGAGTCGAGGGACCAGCCCAAGGCCAGTTCAAAGGGAGATGCCCAGGTCAACGGTTTAGCAGTGTCAGCTGAGTCTAGGCTTTCTGCTGTAAGCAGTCTGATGGCAACTGGGAGCAGAAACCGGAAATCTTTCTCAGCATCAGGTGACTTTGAAAAAGCCCATGGAAAACCTATGTCTGTGCGCACATACACCGAGCACCCTCCTGGCCATTTAACAGCACAAAGGACCCAAGTGGACAGCCATTCAGGGCGGAACAGCTCAACATCTACTGCAACTCCAAGTCAGATTGATCAAAGGATTCCACATCGTGACCACAGTGGGCTGGTTAATACACCCAAAACATCAACCAGAAGCAATTCTGATTCCAGTAGGAGTAGCAGGAAACGAACTCATGACAGCCATACCACTCCTGAACTTAGCCCCAAACCAAATACCTCAAACCCTACTGGTAAAGTATTGGACAAGGTATGTATAATATCGCATTATATAATTTGGCATCAAGGTTCAAAATGTGTTCGTATTGAAGCAAAAAGTTCTTGAAGACCAACTGTGGACAACACCAAATTGAACAGATTAAACGCATCTTTTCTAATATCCCAAGGCCTTTTCACACGAGCGCCGAAACCGCACATCTGCGACAGTCAGCGTCACAGTGTGTGTCTTATGATGTGTGGGATTTCTTTGTGGGCTTTCACACGGTGCAATGTTTATCATGTAACTGACGTTCCTCGTTTCGCCACGATTTGAACTGGTACTTTGCTATGTTTTTAATGTTAGAATCATGCAGTACATGCAACTTTCCCGCCATGCATTTGCAGGCAATGCGTTCTTGCGGAATTCATCAGTTTATTGCGTGTCGGTACTTTGTTCCTTTCTGCTAGCCTACATGCTAGATTTAGCAGCGTGATCAGAAGAAAGATGCAAAGACCTTCCAATTTTTCGACATCACAGTTTGGAGTATCCAACCACCATTTTTGAAGATATTGACAAATGGATGCGCATGTGTAATCAGATTCAACTCAAAGGACCCTCACGACGATCGCATGCTCTGCATCCACACGGCTGATCGCGGTGATCATTACACAGATTTTGCATCCATGCGAAGTTTTGGAGGAGGTCTCGATCGTCGCGATGATCGCTCGGGACCTGTGCTATAACCATGTGATTTTTTGACAGAGGTTGACCTTCACACGACACGATATCACTGCAATTGTAACATCGATGTAATTTCATAACATAGGACCTCTGTTATCAGCGCTCATGTGAAAAGGCCTCCAGCCAGTAAAGTAAGATAAACAGGCTTGTATACATAATACATGTACATGTTTTCCACCCTTATAGAAAAGAATTTGTTTGCATGTTAAAAGGTCCTCCCAAAGTTTACTGTGTTTTAAAATCAACAGATATGTTTCTCTTGCTGTAAAAAGATGAACAGTTAAGATCAGTATGGTTTGAAATTCTAGCCTCCTCTCTCTTTTCAAGGCCTCTGGGCTTTTATCAGCTTTGGTGCTACAATGTATTTTGGGGGTTCATTTGTCTCAGATTTCTGATGTAATATGGCAAAATTATCAGCACTCCAAGCAAAACACTCAGCGACTATACAAGAAGGAGAATCTGCGATTGGAGCTGGAAAGAATTATTCAATCAAAATACCAAGGTAAAAAGAAATGTTTATTGCAACTGAGAAAAGGATTAATCTTGTAAGTGGCTAAGAGTTGATTTGTGGCTAATCTATTTGGTGCCCAATGGAATAAAATAGATCAACTTGTCTTCTCTACTGCTTTGCGCTATTCAGTAAATAAGTAAACAGTAAACAAGTAAATAAGTAATTCAGTAAACAAATCTGTAATTCAAAGGGGTTTACGTTTTCCACTGGTGTGCACTGATATCAGCTAAAACACTGTAGTACTTGTTGTAATAACCAAAATGTAAAGGGCCATCATTTAGTTTGGGTCACCAAGGTGCACCTATCAGGTTTCTGCCCAAGGTTGGCACCCTAAATATGAACTGTCCATGCGGTGGAGATGATCGATTTTGTGTACATTTTGCAGGCTCCATGCTCTTCCTTGTCGGGTCATCACTAAATGGCTTTGCTACCAACAGCAGTGATACTGACCTGTGCCTCATGGTCAGCAACAAAGAGGTAAGCCAACTGAGGCTCAATCCTGTATACTTTGTCAGGTGCATGCAACAGATCGACAGAGGCCCTCGTGTGGTGGGTATTCAAATATTGCTGTCTGGTAAGCTGAGGGCGCCCAGTCTCTGTTCTACTGTTGTGGGTGTGTGCCCCCACTGAATGACACAGATATCGGTTGTCAGTTACTAAAGAGTTCTTGCTCTGGCCAGTACCATGTTGGGAGGACATTTTGTTTCAGGATAATTTGGACTATATTGTGAGGACTTTCGAGTGTCCCCATAAAAGTTTTTCTTGGCATAATAGTTACTGTTTAGCAAGCATGTGGACCGTGCGACTAGGGAACAGATATGAGAGTCAACACTTGTGAGTAGGCCACATGACATCCTTCGACAATTAGGCACAAAGCAGGAATACTTCTGTTCTCAACTTGAGTGCAATTGTAGAAACAGAATGACCACAAATGGCTGAAATTTATGTAGAAACGTCTCTACGTAGTTTTCCCACTTCAGTGCTTCCGTTGGCCATAGTCCCTCTGAATTTCTGGCTAATTACAAATTGTTTTGTGTAATTTCTCAGTCAAACCTGTAGTCAGAACAAACTTTGTACACACGTGCTAATCTTGATGCATAATTAGTTCACACTACTCCAAACATGGCTATGATTTTTACATGTAGTATTCAGGAATCAGTAAATGGTGTGCTACAACCTCGTTCTTATGGGTATGATCTTGCCGTGCCATGTTGGTTCCCACCATTTCCTTGCGCGATCAGACCCCTGGTATTATATAATTTAAATATCCTACTATTGGGGATATTTAAATTAGGTCTTTAGTCAGTGTTTTTACGCACGACGCAGATTTATGCGTGTGATTGACTTTCCTTTTATGTATATTTATTCTGAATAGCCAGTCACCGTCTTTGTTTAATTTTACACAACAAGGGACTAGTGAAGGGACATGCACACAGCCCATGGAGTCGAGGATGGGTGTGCTAAATTATTAACAAGGTTCTTTCCTTCTGTTACCCTCTGTAGCTTAACCAGAAGTATCATGCAGCCTACATCTTGAATGTTCTACATAAGCTGCTGTTAGAGAGAAGCAGTAAGTCGCTCAATGGGTGAACAAGTAAAACGGACCTCGACCTGAAGTTTTTTGACTAACCCGCCAGGAAGTTAACTTAGTTTTTCACTGGCCCACCGGAATTTTCACAAGCCCACTGGACATTATTCAGCAAAACTAACTTTTGAGTGAGTTGTTTAACTGTTACTGTGGAGTCGTGCTGTCAATTTAAAAACTTTGAAGTTGAGGATTCACAGCTGTTACAATTAATAATGTACATTTTACATCGGTAACCTTTGATTTATTCATCTTTACAAATAAGACAAGTAACTGGTAAGTGTTTCTTTACTAGCCTGCTGGCTAGTTAAAGAATGCATTTGACTATTAAACCCAGAGCAGTTTCTGTTACTAGAAATTATACACCGGTCTTTTGCTAAGGTTTGGGACCTGAGTAAAACTTTACTGAAACAGATATTCCTGAAGAAATGGGTTTCTGACTTGAAGGGTTAATATTTTCCCACAAAAGTTGTTTTTGTTGTTCTGATTCCACAGATTTTGTTTCTGAAGCTCAAGTTATCTATGCTAAAGTCCCAATCCTGAAATTTGTGTGCTCGCGGACCTACAGGTATGACTGCAGATGATTTTACCCCCCCCCCCACAATGAAAGCAGCAGATTTTGTTTTTATTGGCTCTCGTGGTCCTAAATCAAATGCTTCACTTTGAAATTGCGCATTTGCTTTCCTAAGAAGCATGCTTACATTGCAGGAGTCAAAAATGTGGGGCTAAAATGCCACTGGGCCATTTTATGGGTGAGTTCCGAAAATGAGCATAGAGGACTAAAACATACAGGTTCAGAAATTTGATAAATCCTTTTCCATATCGGTTTCTTGCACACAGTGGCCTGGATTGTGACATAAATATCAACAATTCCACTGTAAGTACTCATCCATGAGACATGTTTCTGATCTTATTTACGGAGCTAAGCTTTTGAGTTTGATAGGGAGGCCTTTTGGATCAAACTTGGCATTGTGGCACTTACAATGTACTCTGCACTTTGTCCTTAATGTTGGTACTCACTGTATCTATCCAGCCCGGAGAACAATTTCAAAACTGGGATTGAATCTTGTGCTTGTGCTTTTTATCATCTACCTGCCTAAGCCACTGGTCCTTTCAAAAAGAATTAAAAGCAGTCAGTTCAACATTAGTGAGATCTTTGCCTGGCTGTGACAGGAATCAAAATTTCTTACCCATTGGATACACAATAAATGAACATCTTTCATAGCACCTGTTCCTGTTTTGGAATTTTTTTCCCTGTAGGGAATCAGAAACACTCACCTGCTGCAGACTTACTCAAAAAGTAAGTACAAGTCATTCTCCGACCAAATACCGTCATGGTGAGATTCTTTTCAGATCTTGTTTGAAATCAAACATATGGACTGTAATGGACACATCAGAAGCTTGTGAACAATTTTTCCAATGTATGTCCAAAAAAGCTAACAACCACAAAAATCATTAAGTGAAAGTGCCATCCAGAAGGTATTACTCTGGAGTGTTGTAGTTGAGTCCATCACAAGTCCCTGTAAATGTCCATCACAAGTCATTCAGTCTTAAACCAAGTCACAAGCTATTCAACTGAGCTTGAGACAAAAGCATTCTTTTGTCAGTGTTCACCCTGTTACTTACGACTAGCCTTGTCAAGGGACTTCTGATCGAACTCGACTCCAACTCTGTTGCTCATGGAACAGAAAATTGTTGATCGCAGCAATTATAGTGCAGCTTGGAACACATTGCTTACCTTTCATTGAATGTATGCACCTGTAGTTGACTGGCGTGTTGCTCCACTGGTGATTCTCATCAAGCAGTGGGCCTCTGCTCAGGGCATCAACGATGCAAGTCAAGGGACGCTGTCCAGTTACTCGCTGGTACTCATGGTAATCAGCTACCTCCAAGGTATCTTCCTTCAGAATTTAAAGGTCTTAGCTTTGGTAGTTAGGGCTAATTGTTAACCATCTTAATACTGGTGACTGACAATACAGTGCTCCACCAAGAGTTAGCTACACAGAGGTCATTTTTTGCTGCACATTATGGGAAATATCAACAAAGTTTCTTTGCAGGGTGCACCAAGATAACTTCAATTTTTCGGGGAAGATTTGTTGGATTATTTTGAATAGCAGTTTTAATTAAAACTTTCTTCTTTCTTTTGATTGGAATGTCCCAATCTATCAAAATTTCCCCAAGCTGTCAACTGACATGCAGTCAAATGCTAATTGTGGCAAGGCTGTCTATAATCAGTGATAACATTCTGTATAGAATAAGTGTGACATCATTTTGAACCAGAAAGTGTAGGGTAAACGAATAGAGTGCACGGGCATATTGGTTCTCATGCTAATGCCTTTTACACCCCTATTTATGCATGTGACATATTCACTTAGGTAAGCTATAGCTGTACATAATGAAGTCCTAGTAATTTTGTCTCACTGTAATTTGGTTTGGTTTGGTTTCTTATTTCCATTTTGCAACAATCACAAAATTACATTGATAAAGTGTATTGGTAAAGTTCTTTAAGTCATAACTTGTTCCAGTTTAAAAAAAGTAGACGCAAAATGGGGGTGACATCCAGAGGAGGTAGAATCCTGGATCCCCCAGACTGCTGTTAAGTGATGCAGTTAATTGATATAATATTTCACATTAAATAGACTTAAGCACAGTTGTCAATCCCCCCCCCCAAAAAAAACAAAAATACCGGGTATATGTATTAAAAAAGAGAACCAAATAATTAGTGTCTTGTGTCTTTTGAACATGTATAGCGTAGGGCAGTACACTTTATAATTTAGATGGAATTTATTAATGTAAAATTGAGAACGGTTCATCTATCTGATCCTAGGGTTTGTATTGCATTTTATTTTCAGTCAAATGCAAGCCATGTATTCTTCCTTGTCTTCATCAGACACACTCAGTGAGTATTAATGTCATCGATCTTGGAACTTTCTCATGTTTTTGCTATGTGATTTGAAATCAGTGTTTCCCAGTGCCAACAGGGACTCAACCTTTCCTCAGATCGGCTGACTTCCTCCGTTTTTATTTCTCATGCATGCCTTACAAACAGGAAAATTGTGGCCAGTGCTACGCAGTGTCAGCGTCTGAAAATTTGGGTATAAATCGATTTGTACAATGCAGCTTAATCTCCCCCAAACCCTAGCAGGCATTAGGCCTGTGGTCTGCCCCAGGCATTAGAGATGGTGCTTATATGTGCTCTTGAAAGCTGGGGAAGGACACATCATGTGCTTTAGTGGGTTTGTCGCCAGCTTTCTGTCAAGAGCTATGTAATATCTTCTCATGAAGAGAAACCTCACAGCACATGTGCCCAGTGAAATTGTCGATAGCAATTCTTGGATTTTTTTTTCTTCGTTAGTGGGCCCATTATGCACAGGGTTTATAATATCACCATAAAAGCCTCAGAAACCTCAGAAAATAACAAGTAAATGTGAACGATTAAACGGGAGTTGGGTTAGCGTAGTGGTTCCTTCCTCACCTTCCACCTCTGCGGCCCAGGTTCGATTCCCGGCTTGGTCCACATGTGGATTGGGTTTTCAGTCCCTACATGATTCCATGGGTTTTACCCAGAATATTCCTCTGGGATTTTCCTCCCCCCTAAAATTGTAACTGCTTCTCACTGTCTCCTCTCTACAGGTTTCTTCAGGCTTGCAAGCCACAGTGCCTAGGGCGCTTTTGAGGAATCCTTGGTGTCATTACCAGAAATAAATAATAATGATATTAAACTTTCTAAACTGATCTTCTGTTTGAGTTAAATAGTTCTGTAGTTTGTTTGAAACACTTACCAACACCTAAAATGAAAATGGGTTATCAGCATTAGATCGCCATTCCATATTTTTGAGGACAGGGAATTAGTTAACATGTTCATAAGCAGTTTCCTAAGCTAAAGCTTTATGATGTGAGCTGCTAAATGACATTGCAATATTCTTCATGTTTTTCTTTCTCCCCAGAGCACCTTCAACTCGCATTCTGATGTTCGCTTCCTGTACGACACGCATCCAAACAACCCTCTCCCAAGCCACATTGTATTCAGGTCCAAGAACACGGATTCATTGTGGGACCTCCTGAGGGGCTTCTTTGAATACTATGTGGAAGAATTCAGGTTCCAGACCAACGTAATCTGTGTACGGCTCGGCAATACCTACCCTCTTCGTGATGCTCTGTACGGGTCCAGAGACTGGGTCAACAAGTACATCTACATTGAAGGTGGGAGCCCCAAGTTTTCTATTATTATTATTATTATTAATTTATTCAGGCAGATTCAAACTATACAACACGCAATATACATACAATAAAAATTATATCCAAAATATAATTAAAAAAAGAGGATCAATACAGATTGAAAAAGGAGGCACACATGTAGACAGTCAATCAATATAAAAGACGAGGAATGATCAAGCAAGAGACAGACATACATAAGAAAAAAAACAGACAAAAAAACGACAGTGCAGGACTGCCTTGGAGAAAAACAAGAGTGGAAAATATCACTTTCGCCAAAAGGGCGTGCCACTCCGACCCTGCGCAACAATCAGTTCAGACACACAAACACAAAACGAGGGACATCACAACGACAAATCCCACCAATTTGTAAACACACCACACAGACACAAAGGAAAGGACACGAGGAGGAAAAAAAGGCCTTGTACAATGAACTGCAATGGTTCCTGAACTGCTGCAGTAGAGCCAATCATTCACTGACGATCCAAGCAACTGGAGGATTAGCGTTTGATTTGTTTGAGGCAGAACGCTGGTTGATGCTCTCTGCTGAATTTAGACCGTAACAAATGAGCTGTAAAACTTCTGAATCTCCTTTTTTTTCAGTTTGTTTGTTTTTTTCCCACGCCAGAAAGGTTGGGTCACGTTCTCACCGTGTGCTGCGAAACTTTGGGGACTACATATAATTTTTTACAAGCTCATTCAAAAAGTGTGGAGCAGCATGGTTGTCTGGCTGTGTGTAAAAGTCATTCTAGGTTTTGAAATGAGGAGTCACAACCTAACTGGGTGATTACGGCGAACATTATTCAGGCTGAGTGTTTTAGATGTTAAGAAACAGAAGCCAGTTGGCCACAGAGGGCTAGTTTTAGATCACTGAAATTGTTAGTTGCTTCAAAATGTGCGATCCACAATGCCTTGTCCAGGACATCATCACAAGTTCACGAGTGTATCAAAGTGTTTGTTTAAATGTCATGTTCCTGCAATTTCAGCGTGTGGTCAGTTTTTTTACTTCTTCTATGCACAGAGCCTTTTGATAGAAACAACACTGCCCGGGCTGTTTACAACGATGCAAACTTCAGGAAGATAATGCGGACGTTTGAGAAGACGCATCAGAAATTGTCACTCATCAGCGAGTCGGATTTGGAGGATCCAGAGGAAGTGTTGAACTTCAGATATGACAGGTCATCGAAAGACACGCCCCCAATAAAAAAGAAAAAGAGATGATTTCAAGAAAACTGCAGCTGAAGCGCAAGCTTGTCATCAACCGAGAAAAGTTTGCCCATCTCTCGTGAATACGGAAGGTGCCCCCCCACACACAGTGCCAAATACAGCTGGATTTAAGAGATGTGGCAGCAATAGGCCAGTCCTTCTGTCGGCCAACTAATGGATTGTTAAATTCCAAGGATGAGTGAGACTGATAGCTCCTCAGAAAACCTTTTTGCCATAATAAATGGAAATCAGCGAGAAGCTGATCCATTGATAGTGGCACCAGTGGTGGAAAGATATTCAAAGAAAGCAGTCCAAGCCACTTCCTGCAGGAGCAAAAGATGGCGAGTTGTTTTTTTTTTAACTGAAGAATGGAATCACTTTGATGGGAACTCACAGCATGTGTTGTTCAGGTACATGGGTGCTTCTGGACGGGAGCGGCTGCTTGGGTAGAACCAATTGAAGCCTGTCTTTTCTTTGCCGATGAGGGGGTGCTCTCAGTCAAAGCAGACTGTGGAAGTAAAGATCAATTCAAAGTACCCCTGTAGGCGCCGTGAACCAGCTTGTCAACAGAAAATTGGACGGCAGTGTGGCCATGTCTTTATTTTTGATTCCATATTAGTTTCTCCGTTTATTTTAGATATGTCTATCATTGTTCTCATCTATTATCATTGATCGACTTGAATGGGCAAGAGGAATGCTTGAAGTTACTGTACATTTGTAACCTCAGTACATGATGAGGCAGTGTTCACATGGTTGATATCTGGAAGTACGCAGACACTGTATGGTGCTATTCTTAGATAAAATACCAATGGGTCTTCAGTTTTGCACTCTCTGGTTATTAATCCAATTAGGAAAGTGCTGAGGACTGCTCTCTTGTGCCGCATCTGCAGAAAATGGAGAGGTCTGGTAATATGATACATGTAGCTTTATTTCCATGCAGTTATCTCGTGGCAAAGTAATAGGGACGTCATTAAGAAATTCCCCCGCCAGTAATTTGTCGTAGCAAGAGGGTAATGTTTTCCATTGAAATTTGATAGGATATCTGTAATGTTGGAAGACTATGAAGACAGAGTTCTATCACAAAGGTCCATCAGAACTAAACCTGGAATGCTGGTTTTCTTGTACTCGGATTTCGACTGGGGTATTGTTCCCCCCCCCCTTCCTCGCCAACATTTAGCAGGTCCTTGAATGGCTGATGCCTAGTGGTCTCACAGATAGCTGTAAGACATTTTCTTGTGATCACCTGTGTACCTGTAGTTATCTGTCACAGTGTGGATATTTGTGCGCACAAGAGTGATTTTTGGAGTGGCTCTGTTGAAGCATCTTGTCATGTGAGAAACTGGTACATGTACTGACATTTCGACACCACTTCTGGAAACCATCATGAAAACTGCTATTGCCAATGTCCTCTAAACATAGCTCATCAGGATTGTCAATTCACTTTTTGTACGAATATTTACCTGCGTAATATGTTAAGATCATTCATTTTAAAGCTTTTTTTTATAATTTCACGTCAGCAATATCGTTGGCTCCTTTATGACACAGACAACAGGAAAGTTATTGGCGTATTGGTTGTCAGCAATTTTGGCCATATTATATGAATGCACAATCCGATAAAGCAAACTCTTTATAGAAACTCAAAATTGATGTGGAGAGTTTGCAGCAAAGTACATGGAGGTGTTGCAAAATTATTAATCAGATTAATCTATGGAGATATATATGCATAAAGTGAAACATGATTTTTAAATTTAGTTTTTGAAGTTGATAATATTCAGAAGCAACCCGATGTTAAGAAAGTTTCTGAATCTTTTCCAAATGTGCAGAAATTGTTTAGAAAGTTCTGGGGTAAAGTTCTTTTCATAGAAGGGAAAGGAAGATTTTTCTCAATTTCAACAAAATCTGAGAATATTCGCTGAAATCTGTGGCCAAATTTTTGGAACTAGACAGAGCTTTTTTTGTTGGTGGTGGGAGTCTGAAAGGTCTGTTATAATTAGTGCATTTCCTTTAAGGAGACATGTACTTTTATCAAGAGGATCAATACAAAAGTTTTCAGTTGTGAAAGACTTAAAGTTCCCAATTTTAGAAAGAGTGAGTTATGCATATCTGTGAAAGCTGATTGCCAATCTTGTCTTTATCACTTGTTCTCAGATGACTGTATATTGACGGTGGAATTCTAGGAAACATTTTTAGAAAAAGGGGCACAAATTTTCTTTATATTCAATAAGCCCGGCATATGTCGTTTTAAGCATTAAACTGTCAGGAAACAAGTATATTTTTTTGATGCTAAACATTGTTTGATTTGCAATTTATTTATATTATTGAACAGGAAAGTTATCAATTAAAGTTCAAGTTAGCAAATTACATCATGTATGAAACTGGAAATCTTTTGATGGTCGACTTCGGTACTTAATGTTTTTAACTGCCTACCTTTAGGTGATGATCCTGGAGATCAGAGTGTGATCGTCACCAACACCCCTGACATTTTGATGCGCTATCATTTTAAATTTCCGTTTATCATTCCTGATGACAAACTTTGTTATTTACGTGCCTGGTCATTATGGAACAAAAATGGTACTGATCTACTGATTTTGCAACACGTGTCGGGCAAGTGAGGGCGTATCCCGTCCCACGTGCCTTTGTACTTGTGTTCGTTTTGAGCCGCAGACGATAGCTCTTCAAAAACTTGTCTGGTATCCAGCAGACTCAAACGTTTTACTATATAAGATGTGCGGAGAAATCAAACTACTATCTCGCCGCGGAGAGATCGTGTGCCACCGCCGAAACGAAAAGGTCGACGGTTGTAGGTTAACGAGGAGGGACAATCAGACTGAGACTACGTTGTGATACTGCTGTATTCGAGTAAATAAGACTTTGTTGTGATAATGTTAAGAAAAATTTGTTCCAAAAGAACGTGCCTTTGCTTATCACATTGAATGTGTCAACGCGACAGGCGATATCATTGTGAGCACATTGTCGTGTTCAACGGATACGCTTCGCGCGCGTCGCTAGTTGAAGTGTAGTGTGTAGTGTGCTCGTAGTGTGTATGCACACATTTGACGTAGATTAGCTCCCGTCAGCTAGGGTTGGGTGTGATCCCTACTTTTTGGACCATAAGTGCCAAAGTATACACTTTCTAGTAACATCCTCAGGCTGTGGAAAATGACTTCTCACTCAGAATTAACTAGTTCAGTTGTCACCACAAGATCTTGAAGGACTTGGGCCTACTTCCCGAGGCTGAAAGGGTAAGTTTCAATTGATATACACAAAGCCAAGTTGTATAATTTATAAGCTTAAAATTTGGTTGAAACAAAAATGTAGATGTCCATAAACTGAAGGTATTCAAGGATTGCCAATATAAAGCTCCATTGCTGTTGTGTTGGTGATCATGGAATATCTGCATGTATGTAGGCCTATGTTGTTGTTACCCGTCAAAATCTAAACGCTGCCATAGAGATCCCGCAGTTACAGGTATGAATGCAGAAAAAAATTCCTTGAAAAACTAACTTTTATTTGACTGTGGTCATGACTTTGTATGCCTTTGGTGTACTTTAATAACCGAAAGCTTACATGTTGAAAAAGAGACCTAGGCCTATTTTAAAAAACGGCTTTTAGATTTTGTTTGTAACAGCACAATGTAAGCCCTACATGTAATTATGTTCAAAAATGTGTTAGATTAGGCGATAAGGTCCCCTTTTAAAGAAGAATGGCTTGAAAGCACTCTGATCCACCAATTTGGAGAAATTAATAATCTTAACCACTTGCTGCTGGGTGCTTTTAAAAATGCAGTGCACACATACGGGAGATTTTCAGGATTTTCAGTTTCAAAATTCTCCAAAAATTCATCATTTCATTTAATGGACGTTTACATCTACACAAATGACTGTCTGGTGGCCACTCTAAGCTGACAGGCAACCTTCATTGACTCCTGAGTATTCAGCCAGGCCTGCCGCCCTGTAAAAAGAGCTCAGAATTGTGAGGTGTTGCGTAATTTCCTTTGTCCCCAGTAAATGCGAGTGGCGTCTTTTCAAGCGCGGCTGGATTAGCATGCGGCGGTGCTGTGTTGGTCATCAATGCGGCCCTGGAGCACTTTTGTCCGTGGTGCTAATCAGCGGGCGCGCTATGCCCAAAACAGTGGTATACTGTTTAAAAACAGTGACAGATTACCTTCGAAAAATGCAAGCCAAAAAATGATGGCAATACCCAGCAGCAGGTCTTTTGTTCCGAGTACGGTCTTTTGTTACACGAACCAGCTCTTTTGTCCCATTTCGGGCACCTCAGCTCTGCGTATAAACCCATGGTGCTCAAAACGGGGTGCCCCGGCAGCAAGTGGTAAAGGGTAGAAGCACCTCCTCCATTCTGTCCACAAATCCAGATGCGAAACCTTATTTACCCAACCTGTTTAGTGCCAGTCAATCCATTATTCTGTTTTGTTTTGTCAGTTTCTGTTTTTTTATTTTGAGCTGTCCATGTACTGCTACATGTATACGTATAATTTGCTGATTAGTAATGGCTTACATGTTACATGTATTTGCCCTCTACTCCAAAAAGGAGGAGGCTCAGTGCTATAGAAGAGGCTGTGCTCCATTTTTTTATCATCCTTGCATTGCCCCAAGCAATATGTAATATAGGCCTTAATGAGCTCAGAGTAGTACATGTATTATCATGCTTCTGGGCTTTTTTCTTCAAAGTCCTATCAATGTTGCAGTGCATGCTTCTTGGATGTTGTCTGTCATGAGATGTATATTGCACCAGTACTGGGCTGGCGGGATTGGGTCGTGACTCGTGTGTAAATTTTAAAAACAATTTAAAGACACACATTAACTGGGGAATTAAAAATGAAATCTTTCATTCAGCTCAGTTTGTTTTTAAATACTAAAAATACTATCTTACTTGTATAATAGACAACAGTTGAGTCAGTCCAGGTAAGTTAAAATTATCATTCATGCTAACCCACACCATAAGGTTAAGAACTCAAATTGTAAAGAAAACCACCATATTTCAAAAGAAGAACCTTTTAAAAAGACTTGAGAAAGGAAAATGCAGGTTTAAAATAAAACTAAGATGGGATCCAAAGATTTTGAAGAACCAAAATGGTTTCAGATTCATACATACTTCTGAATATCAATTTGACATTAAATTAATGCAGTGAGCGTTTAAAGTGATTGAAAGGCTGATGAGTGATGAGTGCCAGTGTGATCATGGGAGGAAATAAATTCAACATTTTTTGCAGTGTTAGAATTTACATACATGTACATTTTCAAAAAGTATGTACACACGCATATACATTTACATACGGACATCATGAATCCAATAATAAGGGGACGGTACCCAGCTGGTCATGTTGTATTGATCAGTGTTTGGTTTCATTGTGACCACTGATGTACATGTATTTACAAAATATGTTGCCGTAAGTTTTCTTAGATTCTATAATTGTGGACAGTACATTCAAGAATTAATGTGCTCATGTGTATTAAAACTTGAAGTTGAAGTTAATATCAAAGCAAATGTCTAGAGCTTTGAATGATGCACAGTGTTGGTGAATTTTGGGGACTTCACTACCAGAAGGTTGAATGGAATTTTTTTCAGATTTGATAAAAAGTCCTGTTTCTTAAAAGCCTTTGCATCAATCTCCTTTGTTTTGCTTTTAGTTTATTACTGCTTGTCCTTTATAAGTTCAATATATAATTACAAAGGAAGTTCAGGTTAGTGAATGTTGGCATATTATCGTACCTCTGTTCAAATTTATGGTATTGGAATTACATGTACCGGTAGTCCGTTTTTGTTGGTGTGTTTGAATGAAGTACTACGGTAATTCTTGTTAAATGTATTCTGGTCTCATCCAACAGCCTCTGAATAGGTTGACCGTTTCACATCATATTGTCAAAAGAAAGTTTACCTTATTTATGAGTCACCAATCTGTATATCAGCCTTACAGTCCAATATGCATGTACTACATATTTGTACATTTCAGATTTTGGCTTCAAATGACAGACATGTAAAACTGTGCTCCAAAATATATCAAGTCAACATAATTGTATGTGAATTGAAAGTGAACTCTTGAACTTCCAGAGGTTTACGTGAAGATTGCTCAGAGTCAGATGAAAAGGTTCAAGATTGTCCATCCAGCTGACAAGTAATGGAAAATTTGAGGGATTCCATTCGAGACAAATGGGAAAATAAATTTTCAAAATGATTCGTTTGCACAGAGATGTGAGGTTTTTCTGGGGAGGGAAGATTGGGGTTCAGTTTAAACTGCCCTGTTGTGATAGGCATACTTGTAATCATTGCAACCAGGGTGCTACAAGTACATGTACTTGTTAGCATACTGCATGCAAAACCATAGAAACAGGAGGTTGGCAATCAGTCATGCAATACGCACAGAAACCTCTGAATGTATGGAGCTTTTTGTGTCTCAGCAGAAGATGGATAGCACAGCCTCCACCCAATGACAACTTAATGCCGAGCTTGGCTCAGGCTTTTAAGAGCATCCCCAGTAGACTGCTCAGTGTCCTTTGAGATCTAGAATGGCATTGTCCAAGAGGAGGAAAGAGGGGTATGAATATGTACATTGATAAAAATAAATTTCAATAAATAACTGTCCATATTTTCTGGTCTTTGTATTAATCAATGTGTAATTTGTTTCTTCAGTGTTGTTCAGAAATTATAATTTGTAAATTTGCCAAATGGTACAGAGATGCAGTCAGGCAGTAATACTTGTACTTGTATGTAAATAGGCCGTACAAAAAAATTTGCAAAAGAGGAGGAAGTGTTGTATATGATACTCATACAGACTGTAATTTGTTGTTTGGTGGGGTTGTGTAGGCTACTAAATGTTGAATTTGGTTGTTGGATTGTGCTTTATTATGAGTCTTATTCTGAGACTTTTCTAAAGCCCGGTTTCCACAATTGATCATTTTCCGTTGATATGTAGTGACATGTACATGTACCAGTATGTAAGAACACCCTTATCGCAATTAAATGACGCAAATGGCGACAGTTGGCAAAGTTAAACTTTGCCGACTGCAGTATATAAATTGCTACCTAAAATTGGCATTTTGTGCAAAAGTTTCGGATGCCATTTTAAAAGTGTTTTCTGCATCTTGATTTCTTCCGTACCGTCAGCGTTTGTTAAGACCATATACCCCCCGTAGGGAACTATGCTTAACTATCTCTGGTTGTTAATATAAGCCCAAAGTGGAGTGTGGGATAAGGCATTAAAGGTAATTTACAGGGTTATATATCTAATCTAGGGGAAAATGTTTTCTGTCATTTAACCCTAACACTCCCAAATCCTCCAATTTCAATACGATTTTACATACACCCTAGGGGGTTAGGGCTAGTATAAGAATTCAAGAATGAACTGTTTTTGTCTCTCAGTACTGCTTTGAAGTGCAGGAATGTTTTGCTTAGCCTACACAGTGGAGATCATTTTAGTCAGCCTCACCTTACATTGCCTCATTGCACACACATTCTTCACTGAGGAGTAAGGCCCCTTGAGAATCTGTACATGTATGTAAAAATAATATCGGTACATGCACATGTACCATAGCTTTCTCTTATTTGTATGTCATTTTATACATTGTCTATAGATTTATTACACTCACTCCTGGTAAGTTTGAAGAGAGAATCTTGGTGTCATTCTCCAGCCTATATACATACAGTATTTAAGGGTCCTGTATGCGCTATGCCGTCATTATTTAACATGCTATCATCATTGTTTACTGGTACAATGGAAGGGGATCTGAGAAACTGCATGGATTCTATTAAAACATGATGTATTTTCATCACTTGAGAAGTACATTTTGCATGCAGCGGCTGCATTGTTTTGTCATTGAAGCCATGCATCATTCAATTTCCATCAGGCTATATCTAGGCATGAATCATACGAGGCTTGTGAAGCCTCAAGCGGCTCAGTAAAGTGCATCGTCGTGTCATTTTTATCAAATTTTTATGAGTCGAACCACTCTCTTGGAAAGATGCCAATCACTCATTGGATTCGCCACAATGAATAAATTAGGAAGGATGTTCTCCTTTTAGACAGTACCTGGTCATTTTAGCATGACACACTGTTGAATCTTGAGATGTACGAGTACAGGTACACATGTATGTTGGCTACAAAGGGTCAGTATGTAATGCTTTTATGTTCATAGTGCATTAAAGGAGCCACCACCAAACTCTCCCCTCTCCCGAGTTCGTAAGGAAGAAGAAGAAACATAATTTTATTTTTGAAAAATACTGTTGA